ATTGCCTGTAAAATAGAACAAACAAAGAAATGGAAAATAGAAAAGATAAGGAAATTAGTGGATTGATCCAAAGGTCCACTCTGAATATTCAGAGTTACAGAAAAAGATAAAAAATATATATATAAGGGAGGAAATTATAAATAATACAAAAATGATTAGCATGGAAAGTTAGAATTCTTTAGATTGGCAGGGCCACTGAGTGTCAAGTGCAGTGAATATATAAAGATCTACAGAGGGACACCTGAGTGCCTCAGTCAATTAAGCATCAGACCTGATTTTGGCATAGATCATGACCTCAGGGTTGTGAGATCCAGCCCCAGACAGGCTCAGTGCTCAGCAAGGAGACTGCAAAGATCCTCCGCATCCCCACCTCTGCCCCTCCCTGCCCCTTGCCCGGGTTCTCTCCCTTGAGACAAATCATACTGAAATTTCACAATGCCAAGGATAAAGTGAAACCCTAAATGTTTACATAAAGAGAGAGGGGGAAAAAAAAAAACATTGACCAATAACAAGCAAAACCAGCTCCTGTAAGGTTTGGAATCAGTATGGCATCAGACTTCTCAACAGCAACTCTGCAAATCAAAAACACAGGAACAACGATTTTTGACCTAGAATGTTCTACCTGACACATGGAAGAAGATGAAAATACATGCAACAAATAAATAATTTACTTCCCAGGCATTCTCTGAGGAGCGTGACAGGGTGAAGTCAGAACAGAAGCTGAACCAAGTGTTGGAATCCCACCGTCCTGGAGGAAGGATGACCTTGATACGGGATAAAAAATTGGAGTTCATGGGTTATTTGTTGCCTTTGGTGACTGAGAGTCCGTTTTAGAGTCACTGGGAAAAATTTATGAGAGGACACTAGAAGGACACTAGAAATTAACCAAACAGGTAGGAATTGCACTAAAAGATTGGAAAAAAAAACATTTTGTAAGAAACACAATCATCATACTGTAGACTCAGTGTTGAATATTCGCATAATCAGAATAATTCAACACCGAATAGTAATTTAATAAAAAGTAAGACATAGCTATCCTGGGTGGAGGGGGAGAGGGAGAAAGTTTGGGGGCCCAGATGGGCTAAATCTTTAACACAATAAAAAAAGTCAAGACATAACGCTTACAATGTATAAAAACAAAAATTAGCATCGTTAACATAATAGGAATTTAAAGACTCTTTCCAATGGAAGTATCTCGAAATATTGACATTATTTTTTTTGGAGAGTGGTTCTCAGTATAGAAGGGGGAATTCTGGGGTGCCTGGGCGGCCCAGTTGGTTTAGGTGTCTGGATTTGGCTCAGGTCATGAAACCAGGATCCTGGGATCCAGCCTCATGTCGAGTCCCATGTCGGTCTCCCTGCTCAGCAGGGGGGTTGGGGTCCGGTTTCTCCTTCTCCCTCTGCCCCTCCCCCTGCTTATGTTCTCTCTGTGTCTCTGTCTCAAATGAATAAATAAAATCTTTAACAAAGGAGAGGGAAGGAATTCTGTTTCCAATCATAAGCATCTTAGTTTTGACTTTCTTAATTAAGAATATATTACTTTGATAAAAATGAATTGAAAAGAATTTAGCAATATGAAAATTCTCTCTGCAAATTATATTATGATTTTTGTGTTTGGTGTGCTTTGGGAATCACGGCTATAAGAAATAGAATTATTTTACTTCTGACGTTGTCTTGAAATTCTCACTCACTGTCAAAGCTTTGCCAGACAACTTACAAGAAGCCTGGGGATGAAAAGTCAGTATCAGAATACTAGTGTGGTATGTAGAGATCTATGACTTTGACTTCTACTCGTCCATCTGAAGTGGATTGACCTTTGATATGAGGGCCGGTTAGTCTTTTTTGGATGAGAGTAAGGATTGTAGCAAACAAGGAAAAGAGGATGGAGTCCAACCTGAATAATCAAAGAAGTCGAGCTATAATAACTAACTTGAGAGTTTAAAACATCTCAAAAGTTAAGAAGTTAAGATTTAGGAGTTTTAGCTATCTTGAAAAAACAATTTCAAGTTTTCAGTACAAATAAAGGAAAACTCCTAGAGGATAGGCATAGTGTAAAAGAAAAGGCTTTGGATTTGAAGTCAGAGGGTTGAAATTTGATCCTGGGTCCTGCCTTCTATTGGTTTTATGACTTTGAGATAATGAACCTTTCCTAACATCAATTTTCATATTTTAAAATGGGGATTAAAATACCAAGTTTACAAGAACAATTTACTTGTTGTAAGAACTATGTAAGGTTTTGTGTGCAAAGGCTCTTTATAAACTGCACAGCATTTAGTGCATTATATAAATGTAAAGCATCATTATTATATTCAGGTATTTTTAAAGCTCTTTTATCACCAATTGCCTGGTACTGAAAGAACAGTTCTCTGTGTTGGAAACAGCAAATGGTTGAGATATTGACAGCAAAACAAACAAACAAACAAAACAAAACAAAACAAAACAAACTTTTAAATGAGCTCCATGAGAAATAGGAGTAGAAATTGTTTTCTATTTCACCCTATTAGCTATGTCACAAAACAAAGGGGAAAGGAACCATAAAGAGCAATAACCTATGTTGAACCTTCATTCATATAGTAAAATCTCACAATAATTTTTAAAGTAAGGTCTGAAAAATTCAGTTATGAAATGTAGGATTTTGCCATTAGAAGGTTAATAAACTAAGCCAAGGGATGGAGGACGCATGGAAGCTGAATGAACTGTATATTTTATTTCTCATGATTATGAGATTTTACTGTATTTCACAGTTAATCCTTAATATTTGAATTTGGGTGGAAAATAGATTATTTCCCCATTTTACCTCTTTTTTCTTTCCTCCTTTTTTTTTTTTTTTTTTTTAAGATTTCATCTATCTTCAATGAGAGACACAGAGAGAGGCAGAGACACAGGCAGAGGGAGGAGCAGGCTCATGGGGGGAGCCTGATGCAGGACTCAATCCCGGGACCCCAGGATCACTCCCTGAGCTGAAGGGAGACGCTCAAACACTGAGCCACCCAGGCGTCCCTCATTCCTTTCTTTTTTTAATAGGCTCCACACCCAACGTGGGGCTTGAATTCATGACTCTGAGATCAAGAGTCAGATGTGCTACAGACTGAGCCAGCCGGGTGCCTGTCCCCCATTTATTTTTATGTGGTGCCCAGAAAATTGTGAGCTTCCTAGAACATCTACTGCTATTTTTGCCAATTTACTGAATATTTCCCAAGTAGGTTGCCTTTTTTTTTTTTTAACACATTCTGCTTTGTATCTTGAACTAGTAACATGTTCTCGCTCATCTCCAATTAGTTCTATCCCAGGATGACAGTGTTTTGTTATTTGTTTTTTAGATCTCAGGGGCTCCTGTCCTTGTTCGGGACAAGGCCCCTACATCTCTGAACAAAGAGCCTTATAAACCAAATAATTGCAGTGTAAACTCAGGCTTCCTATGGCACATGCATTTTTTTGTTGTTGTTATCAATTTGGCTCTTTTTATTTTGTGGGAAATTATTTGTTTTTTAGATTGCATGTGGTAAGTCTCTCTAGTATATAGTAGACAAATTAATGACCTGCTCAAAGCCTGATTAGGGCAACAGAGTTCTTATGGGTAGCATGATTTCACTTATTCTATAGTATTTTCTGATGCTATATGATAATATAAGCCTCTGAGTGTAGTAAGGATTGTAAAGTTTGCTCAACGGATGCATCAACCATTGCTGATGGCTAGTTTGGGGGAAAAAAGCATTCTGTGTTCTTTCTAGCAGACAAAAAATACTGAATAACAGAGTTTTTGTTCCCTGGCAGAAGATTTAAATGCCATTAAATGACAGTTTAGAGGGATCCCTGGGTGGCGCAGCGGTTTGGCGCCTGCCTTTGGCCCAGGGCGCGATCCTGGAGACCCGGGATCGAATCCCACGTCGGGCTCCCGGTGCATGGAGCCTGCTTCTCCCTCTGCCTGTGTCTCTGCCACTCTCTCTCTCTCTCTCTCTCTCTCTCTCTCTCTGTGACTATCATAAAAAAAAATGACAGTTTAGAAAAATTAGATTTCACTAAAACATAAATGTTGAACCTAAGAGATAATAGAATATTTGAGAAACAGCATTGAAATATGAAATACGGACTCACAGGATTAGCTTCCTCTATCACTATTTATTAGTATTTTTAAATGTCACTGTTAGACCTTGGAGCTCAAAGGAATTTTGATCAAACCATCACATCCTACATGTTGCTATTTAATTAAAGAAATTATTCCCAAAGAGTTTGCGTTTCCCATTGACACTAAGTATGTAATGTTCATGCGGCAACCTTGAGAACAACTCGTAATAGCATGCAACTGCCTTTGTGATGTCACATGTTGATAGTAATTCATTTAATTCTCACAACTACCTGATAGCCACAGAGAAGGTAAGTGACTCGTTCAAGATCCCACTAATAATAATATAAGCTTGCTGATTTGAACACAAGCCCTTAGCTCCAGAGTTCTTTGTTAGGCTAGGGTGCTTCACCTAGCTTTCTGGTTTCACTTTCTCTTGCTAACCTTTGGGATCTTGAATCATCATGGCAGCTTGCTCTTGTGATTCAGTGGGAAGGTCTATAGATCTACACACATGTGTGGATTTACCTAGAGCATTCTGGCTTTGGTAGGGAATCCTTTTTTTCTCTATATATTTATGATTGGCAAATTTTAGTGTTTGTGTAGAAAACATTAACTTGCAGATTGCAATTAGCTTTCGATAAGTAGATTTTGGCAGTGGATTTGCATTGATTATTGGTTTAATTTTATTAATTTTGCTTCATGGAGTACATTTGTCTAGTACCTGAAGGGATGTCTTTATGGATTAAATCTGAAAGGTAACATGGGAAGATTGAGATGATCATTTTCCAAAGTTGCTATGACACTAGTAATCTCAAACACTGCTCATTTAACCACTTTGCACTGTATCAGGGATGCTTAAAAAGTGTGCCCTTTTTAGCAGAGGAAAGTATCTCATGAAATAGCAGGTGCTCTACTAATGTTCTGTTTCATTTAGATGAGTAATGTGACAACAGACTATTGTCTTGACATCGTAAGAAAATTTGAAGTTTCAGAAGAAAATAAGGCAAAAAATGTTCTTGGCATAGAAGGTAAAATAACTAATGTTCCTTTTTCTTTTCCTTTCAAGATTTATTTAAAATTTTTTTTAGTTCACATAGAGTGTATTGTTAGTTTTGGGGATAAAGTTTAGTGATTCATGTTGCATACAACACCCAAGGCTCATTACATCATGTGCCTGCCTTAATGTCCATCACCCAATTGCCCCATCCCCCTGCCCCTCTCCCATCCAGCAACCCTCAATTTGTTCTCTATAGTTAAGAGTCTTTTATGGTTTGCCTCCCTTAAAATAATCAATATTCTTAATTTCTTGTTTCTCAATGCAGTTAGTACTAAATTACATTCTAGCAAAATTTGTAGGAAAAAAATCCAGAAATGTTCATGGATTACAGATGATTCAAATAAAACTCACAATACAACCTATTTTTCTACAAAACAGATGCCATGGCATTGCTGTTTCTCTTCGTTTTGTAATGATGATATGCATTTTCCACTCCAAGTCAGCTTGATCCCACCGTGTATATGATAGATGTCAAGAAATATTTAGACTTTTCTCAAATGGCTCATTTTGGAAAACTTCAACCTGGTAATTTCAAAAAGGAAATTTGATCTTAAAATAACTGATCCATGACACTAGCGACTTGAAAGTACATGTCTCTTTAAAAATATTGGCAAAGAACTTCTTTTCTTTTACCTAGCTGGTGGCAGTGGAGAGGTTGTTGGAACCACAAATTTTGTTAATACAACTATTTCATTATATATATAGTTGAGGAAAGTGAGGCTCTCAAAGAAATTAAGTAATTTGCCCACTGGTATGTACTTAGAATCTAGCTTCGAGGATCTTACACATAAATGTGAATATAGCTACATGTATGTGTAAGTTATATATATTTAAAATATGTGGGAAAATAAACAGCAGGCTGGTATCCAAGAAGAGATCAAGTCTGAATCAGAACCAACAATCTTCGTGGAAGAAAACCGGGGCACCCCATTGTCCTCAAGAGCATCCAAAGCCATGGTCTTTCTTACTATTTTAGATTGTTGGCCTTCTATTCCCCCCTCTTCTTTCAGGCTCAGTGTGGACAAGAGGGTTTTGATGCCACCTGTTTACTTCCTGGGGTGGAGGGTAATTAAAAGAAAGGAATAATTTAAAATTTATATCAATAAGAACCATTTTTAAAAGAACTAGAGAAGGTAAACTAATTTGGGCCTTTACTAAGAAATGAATGTTTTCCTTGGTGGCCCTTCTCCCCCGACCCTGCAAATGGAATTAAACATGATTTCTACATTGTGGAAATACGGATAGGCATGAAGAAATTCTCCAGAGTCTTAGAAGATATTTACAGATAGAGCTTTACCGCATGATTCTTGAAGACTTGAAACAAGTCGTAGGTACTTGTGGGTCATTCCTGTATTTATTCCTCTATTAACGGATGCCTCTTCTACTCCGGTATTATGTTTCGCAAAACTGTAGAAAACGGATCGTGTTTTCTACATAATATGTATTTGTTTATTTCTTTATCTGAGTCCAGCTGATACACACTGTTAAATTGGTTTTGGGTGCACCACTTAGTGATTTGACAAGTTTGTACGTTATGCTGTGCTCACAACTGTAGCTACTGTCTGTCTTGTCACATCGCTATTACAATATTATCGACTGTAGTCCCTGTGCTGTGCCTTTTATTCCTGTGACTTGTTCATTCCGTAACTGGGAGCCCGGACCTCCTCCTTGTCTTCACCCATTTTGCCCATCCCCCTTCGTTCTTTCCCCTTTTGCAACTATTAGCTTGTTCTCTGTATTTCTGCATAATCTGTAAGCACTATTTATTTATTTATTTGTTTGTTTGTTTGTTTTTAAAAAAGATTTTATTTTTTTTTTCATGAGACACACACACACACACAGAGGCAGAGACACAGGCAGAGGGAGAAGCAGGCTCCATTCCATGCAGTGAGCCTGACGCGGGACTCGATCCTGGGTCTCCAGGACCACATCCTGGGCTGAAGGCGGCGCTAAACCGCCGAGCCACCCGGGCTGCCCTGTAAACACTATTTTATTTATTTTTTTTAAACACTATTTTAAAGTCGTAAAAAGTTGCCGGCCCAAACCAATTTCGTAGCCAAACGATGACACTCACATTTAGGCTGTGCCTAACTTTTGACCTGCGACCTCAACTATGGCACTAACAATACTGTTTTTTAAATTAATAACGTATAGTGGCTGGTTGATCAGCGTAGCACTTGGTGTCACTATGGCTTTCACATTGCCTCAGTCACCCACTAGCTCACGCTGGCTGATCGTAGCTGGAGCTCAGTTAATTCCTGAGTGGCTTTGCAGTAAGCCCTCTCCCTCACTCAGTCAAAACTCTTGAAAAGTTGACTTATTTTTCTGTAGGTTATGTTTAAACTGCTGTTCTCCAGTCGTATTTCAAATTGTTGACACAGTTTGACCTGAGGCAAATCTCATTGCTTTAGTATTCCTCGCAGTAGCTGTCCTGAGCATAAGTAAGCTAGTGGCTACGAACATACTTTAATCTCTGTTGTCTCTGTTGGAGTCAATTAAGTACCTATGCTTTGAAAGCTATAGTGTTTTACTCTTTCCTGTTCCACAGGGTTCACAAATTTCATGCGTAGTCCTGCTTGTGACATATTTAACCCACTGCACCATGAAGTGTACCAGGACATGGATCAGCCTCTGTGCAACTACTACATCGCTTCCTCTCACAACACATACCTGACCGGGGACCAGCTCCTTTCCCAGTCCAAAGTGGACATGTATGCACGGGTGCTACAGGAGGGCTGTCGCTGCGTGGAAGGTTTGTGCTTTGCCTGAGCTCTGCTGCATGTTGGTGGCCGTGTCCTTTAGTCGGCCAGTCAAGTCTAGTATAAATAGTGGAGACCTGAAATATGCACTCACACCAACCAGAACCATTTTTCTGCTCATAATAGAGTCCTCCTTAACTCATAATGCCCTCTGACTCCTCCTTACTATCCAGTCAGGAAGGAGAGAGAGACGTACTAGAAGTTAGGAAACACACCTGCTATTGCTCAAAAATTGTGATGAAAATGGACGTTTTCCTAGAAAGATATTTTTGACTAAACAATGGCAAAAGTGGTTCAGGATAACTCTTTGTTTTTAAGACACCTCATGGTCTATCAATCAACAACATTTATTAAATTTCTAGTGGCATCTTGATCGTGAAGACGTGGATATTGGTTTCTGTCTTCAAGGAGCTGATGGTCTAGCAGAATGGGTGACCCTTAAAAACAGTACAGTGTGAGAATTCCAGCAGGCCAGTCATATGCATGGTAAAGAAAGGTGGTACGGAGAGTAAGGTGTGAGATAAAATGTGATACGACATAGGTAGGCTGGGAAGGTAAACTTGGGTCAGTCATAAAGGGTTAAAGGGTTTGAGGAATTCCAGATCTAGTCTTTGGTAACAAGGGTCCAGTTAAGGGTTTTAATACGTATAGTGATAGGATCAGACTTGAAATTTAGAAAGATCACTTGGGTCACCATGTAGGAGGACAGTTTTTTTTTTTTTTTAGAACACGTGTTTGTGGAGGGAAACGGAGGTGAAGCTAGATAGAGCAAGGAGAATGGTGGGAAGGCTATTAACAATGATTCAAAGGGAGGGTTATAAAAACTTGGACTAAGTGAGGGGGAGAGACGATTCCATCCATGTTAAAGCAGCAAACTCAACAGGACCTGGTGCAAGAAGTGAAGGATGTAAGGAATGAGGGTGAGAGCTGTAATGAGTGAATGGTGCCACCACACCCTGTGGGCAATCTGGGAAGAAGAGGGTTCGCGAGTTTGGTTTTCCATCACTTGAGTTTGTGGTGACTTTGTAACATTTACGTGGACATTTTTGTCTGTCAGTTGGATAATAACATCTGAACTCAGTGAAAAGATCCAGGCAAGATAAAGATTCCATCGTTCTGAGTTTTGTAAGTGAGAGTTAAAAATCTTGAAAGTGTATAAGATCACTTACCGAGAGGAGTGGACTGAGGGGGTAAGCGATCCAGCATTTAGATGTAGGAGGAGCGAGGGGAACCAACAGGGACTAACAGAATGGCCACCTGGACCTCAGGGAGGAAATGATCAAAAATGTCCCATGCAACAGAAAAGTAAAATAAGGTAAAGACGAATTTATCCAATCTGGTTGCATTTGACAGCTGGAAACTTATTGGTGTCTCTTGTTAGAGTAGTTTTGGAGACAAGCTAGTGGGAAGTTGGGGGCAGCTGCTGTGGGTTGTCACTTGGCATTTTTCTGCATTCAGAGAAAACTGAGTGATACAGTTTGGGGAGGTTTTGGGACTTGGAAGAAGAAGAAATGAGGACATGGGTTTTATTTTTAGATGGGACAAGGGGAGGAGATTTTGAAGGAGTCCATGCCTGATAGCCTCTCCTTTCTCTGGGAAGAGAGCACCATCTATTAAGTGTAAAATGGGTGGAGGTTGGTTTGGGGGCTTAAGATCAACAAACAATGAGAAAGGAGTTGACAGGATAATCTGGGGAAGTCCTAGTTAATTTCAAAAATAGTCTTAAGGGAACCCCGGGTGGCGCAGCGGTTTAGTGCCTGCCTTTGGCCCGGGGCGTGATCCTGGAGACCCGGGATCGAATCCCACGTCGGGTTCCTGGTGCATGGAGCCTGCTTCTCCCTCTGCCTATGTCTCTGCCTCTCTCTCTGTGTGACTATCATAAATAAATAAAAAAAATAAAAAAAAAACATTACAAAAATAGTCTTAAAACGGTCTTTTTGTTATACAAAATCTGCATGCTTAGACTCCTCCCTCCCCATTCCCAGCAGATTAGATGTAGGAGCAGTGAAGATAGATTATAGAATTGATCCAAGCCTCTAGATTTCTAGGTCACATAAAATATCTTTGAGGTGTTGGTGAGAGCTCTTTTAAGGAATTAGAGGTCCATGAGTCTAAGAAAGGAAAAGAAGTGAATAAGGGGCCACAGGATAAGGTAAAGGGACTAAAAGACTCCAAGAGCTAGAAATATGGAGAAAGTTGTCATCAGACATACAAAAAATAAGAACAGAGAATTGTTATCACAGAGTGGGATTTTTGGATATAGTTACAGGTAATGACTGTATCCACAGTGTGTCTTGGGTGAGCATGAATGAAATAGAGTGGGTAAAAAAAAAAAAATAGAGTGGAGATGGGATCGTTAGCACTGGGGGGGGGGGGGTCAAAGCTAAGAGATTGAGTAAATCGCCCCACATGGACTTTTAACTCAAAAGGATGTTGACAGGTAGATTAAATGTTAAAAGTTTTAAGATTAAAGTTGGAGATTAAAAACTGTAATCCAGATACCTAAGTGCAAAACAAAACAAACAAGCTATAGGAAAGTCACTTGGAAGATTCCAGAAAGGTAGAGTTGGATAAAGTTTAAGGTCTGCTTGTCTGTTTTGTAAATGAATGTAGGAGAACAATTATTTAAAAGTAGTTATAAGAGTCCTAGAGAATGCTTCCTGGTCTGTGATTTATATAAAAAAAGCATCTGCGGAGAAAGGTAGTGTCCTTCGGGGCAACTGACATAAGGAGGTTAAAGAGAACTCCAAAAAGAGTCTGATGATAAGAGGGCGTCTGTCTGGGATGGGATGGAGATTCCATGGAGCAAAGGGACATCTCTTTTTGGTGGGGGTGTGCTGGTGGAGAACAGGTTCTTGGGGTGAAATAGTGGGGGGGAAGCAGGTAGAACAGTAGGGCCATAAGACTAGTATCTGGACGGGTCCTTGTCAGAGACTTTCTGGCATGTTATAAGGGTCAATTTACATGTTAAAACTGGACAGGCGTTAGAAAGTGTCTACGTACAGAACAATCAGGACACTACACATTCCGTGTTCTGGAAATTCATGCTTTAAGCCCTGGCATGTTTGCGGTTGATGCAGAGAACATCTACTGACACAAGTGACTGACAATTGAGTAGCTTAAGCAACTGAATAATGAAGAAGCTTATAAAATATTAACATAAAAACCTTTTAGGAGGTCTCGAGATGACATTCCGCTCTCAGCCATTATTCAACCCTTTGTTCATTCAACATTCCAGAAGTTCCACATGTCTGACGTGCTTGGAGCTTCCCTGGGCACATACCCTCATTGGATTCACAGTGATGGTTGCCTGTCATATTAAATGGTGACATTTCCTTGGAGGCCAAGTATGGAGCAGGACTTGTGATGACTCCGTGACGCGATCGTTAGCTCCAGATCGTTTTTTGCAGTTTTGCTGAACCCAGTTTGGCTGTGTCCTGTGCAGTATTTCTTTTGCTTTCCAGGTCCATCAGGTACCCCGTCTTCCCTTTTTTTTGGTTTGCTATCCAAAATCAGTGTCCTACCCAAGCCCAGCCATGTTCCCATGATCAGCTCCTTGTACTGAATCAGAACATCGAATCTTCCAGGTTTTATTTCGGGCATTAGAAGGGAAGTTATCTGATTGAGATAATTCAAAGCAAGATACAAATTATTATTTTTTTTAAGGTACAAAGGATTTTTAATCTTAGCTTTTTTTAGGGGTCATTTTAACATGAGAGCTTTTAATCGTGTACGGTAGATGATACTGGACATGGGCCTTCTCTTGTACCTCCCTTCTTTCTTCCTAACTGCCGATGAGCAAAATAATGGAAAGAGGCTACTTGATTCTCCTTTTCTATTTTTTTTTTAAAGACTTTATTTATTCATGACAGACACAGAGAGAGAGAGGCAGAGACACAGGCAGAGAGAGAAGCAGGCTTCATGCAGGGAGCCTGATGTGGGATTCGATCCCGGGTCTCCAGGATCACACCCGGGCTGAAGGCGATGCTAAACCACTGGGCCACCGGAGCTGCCCTGGTTCTCCTTTTCTAAAAGATTACTTAGCTCCAGCTATTCCCACAAACTTAGACTATGCATAGCTATGGTGCAACTTTAAAGGACATGCAATCTCTCCAATACCTCCCTTGCCAGCTTGTATCAGCAGATTTCTTCCCTATTATTTGGTTTCCTTGAAGCTATTACTACTGGAATAGTCTATACGTGGGCAGTGAAAGTCCAGTTACTATTTCTGGGAGGTTTTTGTTGAGGAGAAGAATTCTATTTATCTGAGAGACTTGGTCATCTTTGGGATTTATTTTCTGTTCAAAATTATGGTTATCCCTTTGGCTTTGAATGTACTATAGGAAGGAACAGGGGAACTACCATGTTTTCAGCCCCTTTTGTGCGCGAGGACCTGATGGAGTGCTTTCCATACATTCTCATTTGATTCTTATGACATTAAGGGAGACGGAATAATTGCCTTAAGAGGACACCCCAGCTTGGAGGGGTTTAAGCAGCTCAAGTTCGTATAAGCAAGGAAGTTTGGGACCGGAGATTTGAACTCAAATTGACTTAACTCCCCCATTCCGCAGTTCTCCGGGAAGTCTATGTGCTTTCTGGAGGAGCAAACATCGAATGGCGTGATGAGCCCTAGGAGGGATCAGTTGAGGACCACCAGGTCACATAAGGAAGGCTAGAGAGAAGGTGAAGTGCAGCACTGAGGGGAGGCTGGCTTTAAATTTGCTTGGTTTGAGATTAGGACGACCACCTAAATATGTGTCTGTTCCTGAAGACTGAGAATTTGATGACATGGTCTTTTGTGCTCTCCTACCTACTTCTGTCAGCCGTGTGCTTTGAAGATCAGCGTTCACAGCTGAAGAAGCTTGGGCTTCAGAGGCACTAGCATACCTACCCCCAGTGCTATGTCCTCTACCTCGGGTCCAGATGAAGTTGTTTTTACCCTTAAATAGCTATAGCTAGGATATTTAAAGAACGTGATTTATGGAATGTAGCAGGTCATGGATTGAAAATTCCAGGTCCCACAGATATTTTTCGGAAGCAGCTTTTGCCAAGCATAGCACTTAGAGGTAGAGAGTAATGATTCTGGACAGGCCCTTCATGCTATTGTGACCTGAAGACTCTCTCTACTTCCAAGCTTCTAGTTTGATAATGTTGTGTTTTCCATCTCCATTAGTTCAGCTGTAGGAATGTCCTTGGTCAGGATACATATAGTGTCTTGGGAAGACTAATAAGTCTTTTTTGGTGAAGTGGATTTGTCAGGAAGTCAACTGGATAACATTTTTTTTTTTTTTTTTTTTTTACATGGCCTTTCATTCCCTTGATTTTCAGCCCAGGTTGCCTAATAAATATGGATGTTCTGTCCGGGGGATTTTTCATCCTCATTATGGAACTGATGTCGCATCACTGCTGTAATCGGTTTACAACCTTTCCTGTTACCTCCGGGAGCGCTATCAGGATGGAACGTTCGAAGTTCCATTATGAAAAGCTGTCACGTTAGCTGCTCGGCCAGCCTGCGGGACTGACCAACTCTTTGTCGGGGCTTTCAGGGGCCTCTAATATGTGACATGATTGAAAAACGGGCCCCTGGTGATTTGGTGGCTAGGAGGATTGGTTAGAGGATTTCCATCTTGCCAGCATGGCCATCACAGCACGAGCTCTTACAGGAACCTTCGCTGTCATTTGGACTGGGCTATGATTGCCACGTGTGTGGATGCCAGTTACAATTTGGGAGTGGTGTGACCCTCTTCAGCAGGCGGGTGATGAAGTTAGATCTAGAAAGAACCGTCCCCGACTATGGCTATTCTGTGTGATACATGTTAGCAAAAGAGCACCTCCTCGCATGACCAGTGTAGTTTTAGGGGCTCCTTTTATGTACACATGGTGATGGAGTCAGGCATGGCGCTGCCTTGTCCACAGCAGTTCTTTTTGTCAGGATGTTAGTTCATGAGAAACCCTGTTACGCCCTTTTTCCTCCACAACGGGGCTAACTCAGGGTCTAAATTATTCAAATACATACTTTTGAAACCTCTGTTCCTTCTTTTTATACCCATATACAAAGACAAATTAAAGAATGTCAAGTACATGTCAAAAGATGGACAGAGCTTCTCTTCTTAGAAAATGTCTTTGGGAAAAAAAGAAAAAAAAAAAAGAAAAGAAAATGTATTTGGTACATTTGACCTCATTTGCAAGGCCCAAAGGGACAGTGCGGCTCTTTATGCTCCTATCCCCAAACCTTCAATCTTCTTAATAGCATCTTTATTCTTTTTTTTTTTTTTGAAGATAAAAAAAAAAGGCTTCTCCCTTTGCCTGTGTCTCTGCCCCTCTAGTGAATAAATAAATAAAATATCTTTAAAAACCCAATATCAATATTATCAATAACAATCACAATTACTGGGGCAGCCCCGGTGGCTCAGTGGTTTAGCGCCACCTTTAGCCCACGGTATGATTCTAGAGACCCAGGATCGAGTCCCATGTTGGGCTCCCTGCATGGAGCCTGCTTCTCCCTCTGCCTGTGTCCCTGCCTCTTTCTCTCTCTCTGTCTGTCATAAATAAATAAAATCTTAAAAAAAAATCACAATTACTATGTATCATGCAGGATTGTAAGCAGCTTTACATAGTCACCACTCAAGCTTATGATGCAAATGCGACCATCATTTCCTTTTATCAATGGGGGAAAGCAAGGCTTTAAAATGATTCAGTCATTTGCCCATATTTTATAGCTACTGTAGATTAATAAAATGAAAATCTAATAGAAACACGATGAGTTTAAGAGAATAGTAATGAAAAACTCTCTTACAGATTTGAGAGGGTCACTGCAATTTACTAAAGGACTTTAGTAAACTGAAAATGAAGAAGTGGGGATCCCTGGGTGGCGCAGCGGTTTGGCGCCTGCCTTTGGCCCAGGGCGCGACCCTGGAGACCCGGGATTGAATCCCACGTCGGGCTCCCGGTGCATGGAGCCTGCTTCTCCCTCTGCCTGTGTCTCTGCCTCTCTCTCTCTCTCTCTCTCTGTGACTGTCATAAATAAATAAATAAATAAATAAATAAATAAATAAATAAATAAAATTTAAAAAAACAAAAAAACAAACAAAAAAAAGAAAATGAAGAAGTGAAATTAGAGAAACCACCTGTTAAGAAGTGTCACTATTCTTGGGCATTCTTGATTGGATTTAGATTGATTTCCAATGAGTTTTCTTAGTAAATGCTTGGTTGCTTGTGAATGTGACATCTTTGCTAACTATAAGCACTTAGAAAGAAATCATTTATTATCTTTAATTCCTTATTCTGATAAATATGCCAGAGCACCCATCTGTCTGTCTGATAATCTTTGTTGTGATCATAACATGTATAATCTCAAATAATAAACTTAATATTCGCCTGATAGTTCCAGAAACATTAGCAAATACCAGCGGCTTTGCATTGTTGATGTGAAGTTCTGTTTTTGGCAGTTGACTGTTGGGATGGCCCAGATGGAGAGCCAGTGGTCCACCATGGTTACACTCTGACTTCAAAAATTCTCTTCAGAGATGTTGTGGAGACCATCAACAAGCACGCCTTTGTGAAGAACGAGTAAGTACAGCCACATTTGGGAGCTAAGCCTGCACACAGAGCATTGGCTGATGCGCCACAACTATAACACCACACACCCTCCCTTGGAGCCTTCATCTCCCTTCCTATGACCCTAGTTCTCTCCTTCCTTCCCAACAAAATATTGTGAGCAAACAAAATGGGCTCCATGTTTGTACTTCCTCATGCTCCATTTATTTCTTACCCCATTCTACCTCAAAACATTGGTTCCTTGAAGCATGTTCTTGCAAAGATAGACCTCAGCGTTTCTAGAGTGTTCAGCAAGTCTGGAAATGTAGGTTCCTGTGCATGATAAATAGTTTATTGATATTATATTACAATACAGTAAAACAGCTAGGTTCATCAGCTTGCTGAATGTCCTAAACATACTGAAATGTCTAGCATCCTTGTGTCACTTGTCTCTTCCTTAGCATGGGATAGTGGTGACTCTTTTCTCCTCAATACTTGCTTTTTTGGGGCCTTCTATTATAATATTCCCCTCTATGCTGTCATTGATTCGCACTCTTTTTTTTTTTTTTTTTTGGCCCGTGGTCTTCTAATCCATTTCCCCATTCCTCTATAATAGTCACTGTTTCTTAAGTTGTTGCCATTGTTCTACCTTTGGGTTAATTATATGTCCAGAACTTTCCCCTAAGTTTCAGAGCTATGTAGGAAAATGCTTAGTAAAAAAAAAAAAAATCACCTGAGTATCCCATAGGTACCTCAAAATCTAGAAATGTCATTATTTATTCGGGTGTTTAATGGTGTCTGCTCTAAGCCAGGCCTACTGCAATAGGTGCAGAAAACCAAACCACGGCACAGAACAAAGAAGACCCCTACCATCATGGAGCTTGCGTTCCAAACTCAACTCAGCGTCTCATAATGCCAAACCTCCTCTGGCTCTGTTTCCATTTATTTAGGGGCAGCCCTGTCTACCAGTGTCATTAGCCAAAAACCAAATCATCCTAGATTCAGCCAATTCTTGGCAATTGTACCTCCTAAATTATCTTTTGACTCCATTTTCATTTCCCTTTGGGTCATCCTCTACACAGGTGCGATATTTCCCCTCCTAAAAAGATTACGCATGATGTTACAATTCTTAAAGTCCTTCAGAAGCTCCCTGTGGTACAGTCCTGTCTTCTGTGCCCTTCAGGGCTTGGCCTCTCCTTTCTCTTCCAGGATCTTCCACCATTGCTCCACAGAGATGGAGGTTTCTGCCTTTATTGTCTTTTGGATTCCCTAGTGACCCCGGTTCTTTCACAACTCCTTACCTCATTGCCTGGTACATTCTTCCCACCTGCCTAATCCTTATTCATTTTTCCAGACTGCTTAGACATTGTCCCTCTGGCAAACTTACTGATACACCAGCTGATGTAAATGCTCTTTTCTCTGTTCCTGGCACCCTGAGCATATTTCTATTTTATCTATGTAAGTACTTTTATAGCTCTTGGTTTCCTGCCTTCTTTTGATTTTTTTAAAAAAGATTTTATTTATTTATTCATGAGAGAAACACAGAGAGAGAGAGGCAGAGACACAGGCAGAGGGAGAAGCAGGCTCCATGCAGGGAGCCCGACGTGGGACTTGATCCCGACACCCCGGGGTCATGCCCTGGGCCAAAGGCAGATGCTCAACCGCTGAGCCACACCCAGGGGTCCCTCTTTTGAGTCTTTAAGACCATGAGCTCATTGGAAATATGGGTCTGTATCTTATTCATTTTTTTATTGTCTAGCAGGTGCCTGCAATATACCGGACAGCTAAGAAACAATTTTTTTTAATTAAAAGAAACAAAACTACAATTACATAAAATTAATTTCATGAAAGTTCATAGCCTTTAAAATCTTTAATATTTAGTCTTCATATTTATTAACCATGAGGTTGGGCAGCCCCCGTGGCTCAGCGGTTTAGCGCCACCTTCAGCCCGGGGTGTGATCCTGGAGACCTGGGATCTAGTCCCAATTCGGGCTCCCTGTATGGAGCCAGCTTCTCCCTCTGCCTGTGTCTCTGCCTCTCTCTGTCTGTCTCTCATGAATAAATAAATAAAATCTTTAAAAAAAACCCAAAAAACCATGAGGTTAAAGTGCTGTTACAATGAAAGATGCGCCCTGCGTGGCAGGTTTGTTTTGTGCTATCTGCCCCATGCAAGAATCCCAAGCACTGGAATCTTTTTTTTTTTTTTTTAAGACTTTTTTTTTAAAATTTTTATTTATTTATGATATATATATATATGGAGAGAGAGAGAGAGAGAGAGAGGCAGAGACACAAGCAGAGGGAGAAGCAGGCTCCATGCACCGGGAGCCCGACGTGGGATTCGATCCCGGGTCTCCAGGATTGCGCCCTGGGCCAAAGGCAGGTGCCAAACCACTGCGCCACCCAGGGATCCCCCAAGCACTGGAATCTGACGGGTCTTTTCTACCCCGATTGCTACCAGTTTTAGCAAAGTCAAGGAAATGATTTTGCCGTTGTTTCCCAAAATGTGACCTTGGGTGCTGAAAAGGCCACCACATTGGAGTATCCTCTGATGACTTGGTGCTTACTTCAAGTTTGGGAATACTTAGAGGAGAAAAGCACTTTACTTAAAAGTTAATATGCTTATTTAGCCCATTTTTAAAATTAATTAATTAATTAATTAATATTTAGCCTATTTTAAAAGTTCAGTCTTTTTCTTTTCTTTCTCAGACCTTATTTATACCCAGGTTTCTCAACCTTGGCACTAATGACATTTTGGACCAGAGAACTCTTTGTTGGGGCTGCGAGGTGCTGTCTTACACGTTGTAAGATGGTTAGCGGTGTCCTGACTTCCACACGTGGAGTGTCATTAGCATTCCCTTCAACTTCCCATTTTTGTGACCACCAAAAATGTGTTCAGACATTGGCAAATATCTACCTGGGAAGGGCCCCACAGACTCCCTTGTCCCCAGTTGAGAAGCGCTGCTTCACTTTGAGTATCGTTAGACACTGAGAGGCTTTTTATAAACAGACTGATGACTTAAAAATTCATTGTTAGGGGGCACCTGGGTGGCTCAGCGGTTGAGCATCTGTCTTCGGCTCAGGTCGTGACCCCGGGGTCCCAGGATTGAGTCCCACATCAGGCTTCCTGCATGGAGCCTGCTTCTCCCTCTGCCTGTGTCTCTGCCTCTCTCTGTGTCTCTCATGAATAAATAAATAAAATCTTTTAAAAAATATATTCATTGTTCAAACTCCTTGATGTGATTGCATAGACAATCTCTTGCTAGTTTGTCGTGTTTTTCTCTCTCTCTGACACTCCAGGATGAAACCCACGTGAACACAAGAGCCAACAGGTTATAGGAGGGTAACACACTCCAGTCACAAAGGTTCATCTCTTGTATTTCCTTTGGCATCCAGTTTTACTAAAGAGGAGAGAGTAATTTCAGGAGGTCCTCGTCACAACAGCCCAGGAGTAAAATTGTTTTTCTCTAGTAGATATGTTAGCCAATTTAAATATTGCTTTATATACTCAGGAAAATATATATGGCCTATTGCTCCAGAAGATATATGATGGAAAAGTAGAAAGAAATAACAACAAGCTAGATTTGGAATAATTTCTTATTCTGAAGAAAGAATGAAGTCAGAAGAAGAGTAAGATCAGTGATCAGCAGTCTGGTTGAGGTTCACATTCTGTGCACAGCAGCCCAAGGGCTGGGGGACAGTGAATGCTTGGCCTTTTTTCCTTTCTGCAAATGAAGACTAGGATATAATTCTATACAGCTGATTTTTTTTAGTGCTTGGGATAGGACGCTCTAACTCACCAAATTCCATTAAGATCTCTTATCCTCAATAGTGATTTTCAAGCTGGGGGCTGATGATACATTTTGAAATATCTGCTCTTAGGGATGCTCGGTGGTCTGTTAGATGTTATTAGGCACTCTTTGGATTTATTTAAGTTTTTACACTGAAGTTTATTTTTTGTTGGAGTATAACTGACACACAAGGTTACATTAGTTTCAGGTGTAGAGCTTAGTAGTGATTTGAGTTTATACATCGTGCTGTGTTCACCACAAGTGTAGCTCCCAGCTGTCACCCTACAATGTTATTACAGTATCATTGACTCCGCTCCTTATGCTCTACCTTTTATTCCCATGACTTATTCATTCCACATAACTGGAAGCACGTACCTCCCACCCCCCCTCCACCCAGTTTGCCTAGCCCCTCGTGCCCCTTGCCCCCTGGCAGTTTATTCTCTGTATTTATCAGGTCTGATTTGCATTGTTTGTTTATCCATTTGTTTTCTTCTTAGATACCACATATAAGTGAAATCATAAGGCATTTGTCTTTCTCAGTCTTATTTCACTTAGCAGGATACCCTCTAGGTCCATCCATGTTGTTGCAAATGGCACAACCTCATCATTTTTTGCGGCTGAGTAATATTCCTGTGTATATATGTGTGTGGGTGTGTACACATCACATCTTCCTTACCCATTTGTCTATCAGTGGACACTTCGGTAGCTTCCATCTCTTGGCTATTGTAAATAATGCCATAATAAACATAGGGGTTTATGTCTTTTTGAATTAACGTTTTTGGGGTTTTTTTTGGGGTAAATACCCAGTAATGGACTTGTTGGATCATATGGTAGTTCTATTTTTAACTTCTTGAGGAACCTTCATACGGTTTTCCACAGTGGCTGCACTAGTTTACATTCCCACCAATAGCATTTGAGGGTTTCTCTCTCTTCATATCCTCACCAACACTTGTGTTCTGTGTTTTTCGTTTTAGCCATTCTGATGGGTGTAAGGTGATCTCTTATGTGGTTTTGATTTACATTTCCCTGATGGTGATGTTGAGCATCTTTTTGTGTGCCTGTTGGCCATATGTATATCTTTTTTGGAAAAATGACTACTCAGGTCTGTTGCCCATTTTTTAATTTGATTTTTTTGGAGGCTTTTGGTGTTGAGTTGTATGAGTTCTTTATATATTTTGGATATAACCCCTTTGTGGGTGTATCACTTGCAAATATTTTTTTATTTAGAGTAGGATGCCTTTTTGTTTTGTTGATGGTGTCCTTCACTGTGGAAAAGCTTTTTATTTTGATGTAGTCCCAATAGTTTATTTTTGCTTTTATTTCCCTTGCCTTAGATGGCATATCTAGAAAAATATTGGTACAGGTGATGTCAGAAAAATTACTGCCTGTGCTCTCTTCAAGGATTTTTGTGGTTTGAGGCCTTACATTTAGATCTTTAATCCATTTTGAATTTATTTTTGAGCATGGTGTTAGATAGTGGCCCAGTTTCATTCTTTTGCATGCTGCTGTCCAGTTTTCTTAGCACCGTTTATTGAAGAGACTGTCTTTCTCCATTATATATTTTTGGCTCCTTTAGATTTTTGAATAAATAAGATGAATTTATGTTATATGAGCTTTCTTTCTTTGGGCATATCTCTCAAAATTTTCTTTTTTCTTTTTCTTTAAAAGAGACATACTGTATATACCATTTTTTTTAAAGCAAAATATTAATGGAAGTCATCCCACATGGTTGGTATTTTGTGCAGCCATTATGCCAGGCAAAATATATTTATTTGGTCAGCAGAGTTTCTTTAAAAATGCATCTTCCATCTTTCTCATTTTAATTACCACCGCTTTCACAAATTCTGTCACTAGGGTTGTAAGAACATAATAAAATAGAATGGTTTTCAAACACCCCTGGAAGTTGCCTGTACTCAATGCCTTTAGAATATGTCATTGTCCTCTTAGGTTCCCGGTCATACTGTCCATTGAGAATCACTGCAGTGTCCAGCAGCAGAGGAAGATTGCTCAGTACCTGAAAGGAATATTTGGAGACAAACTGGACCTGTCATCTGTAGACACCGGAGAGACCAAACAGCTTCCAAGCCCTCAAAGTTTGAAAGGCAAAATCCTAGTGAAGGTAATTACCTCACGGAATGCAGTAAAAGGCATTTAGAAGCCCTTCTTCCCTTAAGGCCTGAAAACTGGTTTATCAAGCGGACGATAGAGTCAATATTTGAAGGATCCTCTAAGTTTGCATATGCACCTTGTTCCTATTTATTAATAATTATACCTCCAGAAAGAGCTTATTATTGACTGATCACGTATTCTGGGATTTGTTTTTGTGGAGTGAGAAGATCAATACTGTAAACCAAATGTTTAATATGTTAGTCTGTAATAGTTTACACTCGTGAGAAGTATATGTGTCGGTGCACGGGGCACAGGGGAAGGGAATGCTCCTTGTGTGTCCATATCTTTTTCTTTTTGTGTGTGTGTGTGTCCATATCTGAAAGTGTTTCTTTCAGATTCTTCTCTCCCATTTCAAGCTCCAATAACTGTCTGTCAAAAAAAAAAAAAAGAAAAAGAAAGAAAGAAAAAGAAAAAGCAAACAAACGACAGTCTTTACGGTTGATCAACCTTGGTTATGTAAGTGAGAGGAGCTTGCTTCAAAGCAGAGCACAGGCACAGACAAAATGCCCAGAGGACTCGTGTGTATGCGAAGGAGCAGTAGGTGAATAGAATGACATTTTATGAACAGATTTTCTGAGGGAAGAAATTTACTACCTGCAATGAATATTTTTTAATACAAAGAAGAACCCAAAAAACAGTTATTTGAGATCTCACATGGCTGACTCTGTGATTTTACTTAATTCCAGTTAATTTTGTGTGTTTGCACTAAATCCATCTTGGATAGTTGTATTATTTTGAGACTAAAAATCCAAGGAAGAGCAGCAGGGTATTAATATTCAAATTGGGTTACATTTTACTTAAAAGAAACGTGTACCAAAAAAATCAAATATCACAAAGGAGGCATAAGAAAGTCAAACTGTAATTTCCTAGGAATACTTTAACAGGGGCTCTAAGGGAGGTCAGCAAATGGGAAAAATGTGAAGTACTCATCTTTGGAATTGCTCAAAACTGGTTTTTCTATCAGTTAAATGAGAATCCTAGACTGAATCTGTCGGGCCTTTGTACGTGTGAAAGCATTTTGAATAAAAGCTCCAAATAATGTGAGAGATAACATGAAGGTCAATTTTCCTGAAGTCTTGATAAAACAAACTCTTGTGGTAAAAACTAATTGCTGGGTTATAAAGCTAAATGCCACCTTAATAGTTTTGCTTAATAGTTTTCCTGTTTCCTATAGTCTTTAGCCAGTAGTCAGAAGGTTAAATGCAGAGTAAGTCCATTTGATGGAAATACTTCCCTTTTGGACAGTGGAACTTAAGGTAGAAAGTTGATATGAATTGAGTCCCTTCTGCATGATTGGACTTTGGGCCATTTGTCCTACAATGTCCTGGGGCTTCTGGGCCCCCGGGTGCGCCAGAACCAGATGATCCGGGACACTCATTGGGAGGAGTGGCAACAGCATGGGCTGCAAGCATTTCAGGGCATTTAAGGTTCATTTGCTGGTAGCAACGTTCTTCAGACTTTAAAGAGACCTCCCAGATCTATGGACCGATGTGTTTCCATTTGAAGCAAAAATAAAAGAACTGGTTTTCCTATGTTCCTTTAGCCAAGAGCAATCTTTGGTCCAAAAGCCACCATTTTAGCAGCTCCTGACCACTTTAGAGTTTGACAAGTTGTTCATTATTATAATATACATACTTTCCAACCATATATTTATATCTGTATCTATATATCTATATCCCCACACTTATCTCCTGAAAAGCAAATAAAAAGTTGCTTTTGAACAGAAATGATAACAAACTTAGTAATTTTCCATAGGCTTTAATTGCTGAAAGAAACTGTATCTGGTCCAGGCTTCTTACTTTTTACAGATACGAATCATAGCGTCATTACCACACTCCTTGGATCATGCAGTGTGGAGGTGAGCGGCCGCTATGGTTCTAGTCTCTAGAATATTTCCATGTATCATGGACCAATGAATCTAATTCTTGATCACTCCTGCATGCAATAGTCCATAGATCAGAAAGAGACCCCTCAAGACACCCGGGCATTCTTTGACTCAGGTCCTTGAGTCATTAAGTTGTGCCTTAATTTATTCTATAATTTTCCTTAGGGGTACCCGTTGATAAGAAGCTTTAAGAAACCATGTTCTGTTGCATTGCTTTTCTTCCTGTCTGCCTGGATAAATTATCTTTTGAGAACCAGGAATGTGGAAGAGTTGGCAAAAAAAAAAAATATGGCCCTCATGTCTTTTAACTCAATTTTAAATGGATGGAAAGTTAGGGCACCTGTGGATGCTCAGAGCAGGCCAGTTTCTCTCTCTGTCCCCTCACCTACCACCACACGTACCTGAAAGGAAGCTAGAGCTTGGTGTGGCTGCCCTATCAGCTCATCACTGTGTGCCCATCACGGTTACACTTTTGTTTCCATCTTGTGGTATCAGAACTCTTCCTGTCATTCAAGGATTGTTACTCCTTCCCTGTGGATGTTACTTCTCGTATTTGTTAGCTCTGTTCTGCTTTAACGTTTAAAAAATATGTTGGCTCTGTTCTATTTCAAAAGGGGGAATTGCCATCATGAGATTTTAAATGTCTTGTGTACTGGTCCATCTTGGTTGTCGGTCATTGTGCCCAAAACAAAAGTTGACTCTGAATAAGTAATCGGTGGTGAATAAATGAAGGAGGTCGTGACCTCAACGTCTATGCTCCTGAACGTGTCTGGTCGCTGCTTAGTTGAAAACCTTATTTCTGGGGCTGCTGTATTAACATAGCTACTCCACAGTGTGTCCTCTCAAATAAAGAAAAATAAATTCATTTTATAGAAGCCTTCTGTATCAGAAAAGACTTAAAATAACATATAGGCAGAGATACTTTAATTCTGAGCTGTTTTGTTATTAACAACACACGGGAGGAAGTGAAAAAACGTTCTGTTACATTTACTTAGAATTATAGGTAAGTATTACCCATGTATCTGCATCTATCTCTAAACGTGTTCGTGTGAAAAAGAAAGAGTGTGGTTTTCAGTTCTGCAGACCGCGCGTACAAATAAGGAGTGTAATACATATCAGTATAAAGGGAAATTAAATCTCACACTTTTAATCCTATAAGCGACCCTCTGTAAGTTGAAGAAAATGTTTAAATATACAAACCCTAAGAGTTTGGAGTCTTAATATACATCTTGCTCTCATTATGTAAATGGTTTAATCAGCTTTGAAATGATCAGTGTGCTGAGGACCCAAGGTCAAGAGCTTTGGGTATCAGGGAACGTGCAGGAGAATGGGGACAGAGAATTCTCTGGAAACCTGACTATGCTGGTGACCCTGTGCAGGGAGGGAGTAGGTGGAGGGAAAACCCAGCATGCTGAAGAAAGCCAATGATGGTGTGGAGAGTGGGAATACTAAAAGTCACTGGGGTTGGAGTTTAGAAAACATCAGCCTCAATAGCAGTCTGCTGATGATATTTAAAAATCCATCATTATTTTTGGCTGTCAAACATATATGAACGTCCTTCCATCCTCCTCCATCCCTGTATTTTAAGGAATCCCCTCATAGTGGCCAAAAATGCTAGATGTTTGCTTTTCTTGGTCGCAGAACTAGGATGTAGGCACATGATCTAGATGCATCTCCCAATCAAATGAACCTGCCCCGGATATCAGACACCTGCACTATTTCCATTTTTAAATTGGGTGTGTTGCTCCATTTCAGGGCAAGAAGCTGCCTTATCATCTTGGGGATGATGCAGAGGAGGGGGAAGTTTCCGACGAAGACAGCGCAGATGAAATTGAAGATGAGTGCAAGTTCAAGCTCCATTACGTGAGTCACAGATTTAGTTATGATTTTTGACCCCAGTGTGCGGCAGTAAAAATTGCTGCTGTGTTGGAATCCTCACAATATGCTGGCCGTGGTGCAAAAGGGATAGTCTTGGAAAGTTACTTTGTTTTTGGGCAAGACACTCAGATGCTTATTGAGTCAAGGGCTTTGCGTTAGAAGGAATGTTCATGATTAACCTGTCTGACCCTCTGTCTCGAGGGAGAAATCCTCTCCCCATTTCAGCTTTGTCAGAACTCAGATTGCTGCTGGAAATGTCATGGTGACATGAAATGAGCTGGCCCTAGCGTGATCTCCTCTGCCTCTTGCTAGTAGCCCTACTATGCTGCTTGTCAAGGCCGGCCTGCAGGACCCAGCGGTGCGTGGTCTGCTCCTCTAGGATGCCCATTCTTGCCCAAGGAAAATGTACCTTGGATCAGAGGATTTCCAAGCTCTTCCTGAATTGAGACCCTTGGCTAAATCTTTAGTTTGCCACGTCTTAGATAAAGTGGCACTGGATAGTTTGCTCTCTGCATGGTGCTTCAGACCCCTGTGGATGGATCAAGGTGCTACCTTTGTGTTTAAAAAAAAATTAAAAAAAAGCATCATTTAACCAGGGAATCCAAAGCAAATGCAACGCAAACCTAGAGGAAATGTAAAGCTTAAAGAGATACCCCCCATCTCCTCGTGGAGGATTTGGGATTTCTTACCCTTCTCCCACCTCTCCGACTCCTACGATTGTCAGGATCACATGGCAGCCTGAGAGCAGTACCCCCCTCACATTAGCTTGTTTGTAGGGTTTGCAGTTTGACTTTTGTGGAAAAGTTGTATTCCTCTAGAGACTGGGACTCATTCTTCCCTCTGAAACAGAGAAATTTTACACAGAATTTTCTAATTTGCATTATTGCCCTGAATTCAGCTATTACATTGCACTCTCTGAATAAAACCGTGCACTCTCTGAAATAGTAACTAATATGGCTTCCTGTGGTTACCGTAGGAGCCAGCATTACTCCAAAGTGGACATGAGTCTAAAGATGGCCAACCTCTCAGTAGACACTTTTTTTTCTTGGCTTTAGTGCAACTCAAAAAGGATGAAGTGGGGAAGATTCAGCTTGAATTTAAAAGGAAAAATTACCATCTGTATTAATTTGTTGCCTTTTAATAGTTTATATCAGCTCAAATACCACTAATAGGGCTATGGTTGCAGAACATTAATCCGAATAGATTTTATACAAGCGAAAATGGTTAATATATTAAATTGTTGATTTTTTTACCCTTCGGAAACTTACTATTTTTATTAGCACTTAATATGCAATTATGGATAATGTAGCTCTATTTTTTAAGCTATATTTTATAAACCAAATTTTAGTCTCTGATCTCCATTTTCTTTGCATCTTATTTCCAAAATCTCTTGATTGCCAGGCTCAGGGTAGCCTATCGTTTGAGAGCAGGGAACAGAGCGGCTTGACTAAGTTACATAGTTAGGGAATGCTGTTTTTGGTGAAAACGAGTAGTGGAAGTTTAGCTACTATCACAACATAGTCATTTATTGCTCTGAGTAAAAGCCAAGTCGTCCTGGTTTCTAAATCCACCCAGTTATATAATTTTTCTCCTAATATCAGTGAGCTCCTAACTTTTCATATTAAGTATCTGTGACTATGAAGGAGAGTTTGCTGTCGTTTTATGGAAACACGTCACTAACTTCACCTGTGCAATTATCCCGCTGATTCTTCCCGTCTTCAAAGGCTCCTAGTTGGTTTCTAGGAAGCCACGCAGGTAGGTAGTTTAGAACATGACTCTGTAAAGATAGGTATGATCCTTCATGGGGATCCTTTGATTTGGGCTTTAGTAAAAGCAAAGAGCACCTAAATTGTGAAATTTTACAGGTTATCTCTTTGTTAGACTCTAGGAAGAGAATATACATAAAGGAACAAATATTCTTTTTTTTTTTTTTAAGGAACAAATATTCTAGTGGAGATATATAAAGTTTTTGCTCCACTTTCGAATCCCTTTTCCTTATTTTTGAGCTCTACTGAGAAAAGGCAGTGCTGTGCTTAGAAAGCCAAAGAGTTACTCTGTAATCAGGCAATTTATAGTCTTATTGTCAGCACAGGGCTCAAATGCCTTATCGGAGTGTCGAATGTAAATTGCCCGATCGCAGTTTTGCAAAAGAGGATGTACTGTGCATAGCTTATGTGAAACCGATAATTACCGTAGTGGAGCTCTTACCCTCAGTTTTAAGTTAACAGAATGTGATTAGCTTTACAAATTATATCTGAATTATTGCCACAAATAAAAATTTTAGCTTAGCGTTCATGAGCATCAGATTGTTAACCCTCATGAGGCTTATCCAAGCTGCCTGGGCGTATTGAACACTTTTTTTTTTTTATCAAGCATCTCCTTTTGGAAATGCAGCCATCATGTTGTAGGTGTTGGGCACCTATCAGTAGACAAAACACACAAAAATCTTTGCCTTCATGAAGTTTACGCATTAACGGGTGAAGAAGAGAATGAACAAGAAATAAGACAGATAAGTGACAAGTGCCAAAGGAAAAGAAGGGGGGTAAGGAGCGGCTTGGTTGGTTAGGCGTCCGACTCTTCATTTTGCTCGGGTCATGATCTTGGGGTCCTGGGATCAGCCTCATGTCGGCTCTGAGCTCAGCGGTGGTCTGCCTAAGGGTTCTCTCTCTCTCCCTCTGCCCCTCCTCCCACTTGCACATGCTTTCTCTTTGTCTCTTTAAAATAAAAATAAAGAAATCCCTATAAAAGGGAGGGAAGGAGCTGGTTTGAGCGTGCCTGTGTGTACAGTGTGAAAAGTCTACTGAAGATGGGATGGCCAGCAACGGTCTCACTGGGAAAATAACAGAAGAGCAATTACCCGAAAGTAGTGAAGAGCGAGCCATGTGGATGTGTGGGGAAAAGCATTCCAGGCAGAGGGAACAGCAAACGCAAAGGTCAGAAGCCACGCTCGAGGTTCCTGCGTGTTCCCTAGCGTTAGAAGCAGAATGGGAGGCAGGAGCTTCCTTCCGGGCTTCTTCTTCCCCCTGGTCTGCTGTTACTTCCTAAATAGTGTTTTGTGTTTAAGATTTTACTTATTTATTTGAGAGACAGAGAGAGTGCAAGAGAGGGAGAGGGAGAATCTGAAGCAGACTGTGTGCTGAGTGGACGCTGGGCTCGATCCCACGACCGGGGGCCGGGGCGGGGGGGGGGCGTGTAATGAATTCTTTCTGTTGTTGAATTAGTTGAACCCTTTAAGCTTCTGCCTCATATTATTTTGTGGCTTCAGCCATCAAGAGAAGCCAGGCAGTGATATATAAGCTCCACGGACAAGCCAGTCAGTGTGTTCAGTGCCTCAAGAATCACAACGGCTCAAAAACACAGGGGAAAGCAGCTTCCTTTCAAGCGCGGCACGGTTATCTAACAGATCGGATTCCGTGGGGCCCGCTCACCATTATTCATCTCTGCGGGGTCCTCTCATGTCAGGGTGACTTACAGACAGTCCACCCCTGTATTTCTTTTCCCCTTCGCCGAGTCATTCACTGTCTTCCTCCCTGTGCTCTGGGGACATATATGGGGCCGGCCTCGTAGGCCGCAGTCCTAGCTCTCAGTGGGTCTTGTACGTGCCGCCCACCCCAGAAACACCAGGCCTCCCGACAGGTTGTCAGTGAGCCCTCGTGCGGTCACCTTGTGGAGAACCCCGAGCGACTCCTGGCACGTGACCTCAGATACCATCAGTGACAAGAGCAGCAAGAGCAGCCCCGTGGTTGCCAACGTGGGTCCCGGCCGGGCCTGGGCCAGAGGGTGCTCGGAGGGAGCAGAAGGCGCGAGGGAGACGACACCCGGACGTGAACCTCAGAGAAGCCGTCGTTGAGCCCTAGACTTCGAGATCCCAGGCGCGGGAAGCCCTGAGGCCCTCCCAGGGTGGCTGACACATGTCCTGTGTCTCCGGGGCGTTAGCCTTGGGGCAGGGGACAGAGCATACGGGGAGGCGAGATCCTCCCAGGTCCCGCTTGGTTTCGGGGTGAAGGTCCTCGGCTTGGGTGGCAGAGCGACAGGGGAGCTTTTGGAAGGTCCTGGGCCTGGCCATGGGATTGGGGGCTCCCCTTGAGGAGGGCCCCCCTTGAGGGGGCAGCCCGGGGCCGGCTCCCCTTCCCTGCTGCTCCTGAGCCCCGAGCCGGGCCTGTGGTTCTGGGCCCCCCACCGCCTTCCCGGGCGCCTGTCAATCTCACCCTGGAGAAAAAAACCAGAACACGTTTGGGGGAGTTCCAGCTTTCTGGTGGATTCTTCTAGATGAGAGTTACCTCGCAGACACGGGAATTAGGGACCCCGATTTCTTCTCTGGTGGCGACCACTCCCAAGCAGATAAGGGGCTGCTCACCCCCCCCCCCCCAGCAGCTGCAGCCTCCTTCCCCTGCTGCTGGCTCAGGGAGCCAAGGGGAGAAGCTCAGCGCTGCAGGTGCACCGCGGCCCCGTGGGGCCCAGCGGCTGGCCCAGGGCCCGAGGGCAGCGGGATGCCATCCTCGAGCACACCCAGACTCTGGAGGGTGTGAAGGGAATAACCTGGGCCTTGGTGTTAAGCCTCCCTGCGCCCCAGGGCCGGGGGAGCACACCGAGGCTTCCCGGGGGCCGCCGCGTGCCCTGGGCGTGCCAGGTGCTCCCCCCAACAGACGTGCTCCCCGCCGGGCCCCCCGCTCACCCGATCCTGTGTTGGGAGTCGGGCCCCTGGGATTCTCCTCCTTCCAATCTTAAGTGAAACCTGCCATTTCCCCAGAGGGATCGCGGGGCTGCGTTCCCCGGATGTCCTGTAGGAACAACGGTCGTCGACATACGAGCCTGCTCGCCACTCATCTGCCCCAAGGATTGGTCTTTCTCTGTGACAGTATCCGAGGAGTGGCTGCAGCATGATGCGGCGAGATGCACCCAGAATTTTGAATCGGGAGCCTTAGGTCCGAGTCCCTCTGCGGCCGCTTCCCGGGCACGTGTGTTTGGACAAGTTCTGAATCTTTCTGCTTCTAGGTCATGACTAAATTTGGCTGACCCAGCGGCCGCCACTTTAGAGGTGTTGGGCAGCTTGCACGAAGTGTCATCGTATGATTGTATTTTGTGAATCCTAGCATGATATATACAGTCTTAGCTGCTTTTTTTCTGTATTTTCCTGTGCTTTTTTTTCCCCCTTTCTGTGTCCATCTGATTTCCTAGTTCTTACTGATCCTGTTTGTCTTCCCTACGCTCTCACTCGTGTTGGGATGCTGTCACTCTACTCTCTGCCCTATAATCAACCCTCCTTCATTGTGGGAGGTTGATTTGTGGCCTTGTTTGGAACAGGAGTCTCTGTAGATGTTATTAGGTGAGGGCTGTGGAGATGGGATCACCCTGGATTCACCAGGTGGGCTTTAAAGATCCAATGACAGACCCAACGTCCTCATAAGAAGAGGAGAGGACGCAGCAGAAGCAGGGGCCGCACGAGAGGGCCACGTGAAGACAGAGGCAGAGACTGGAGTCAGGCTGACAAGCTGAGGAACGCTAGGAGCCACCGTACATTGGAAGAAGCAAGGCGGGGAGTCTCTGCCCGGAGGAGGGAGTCTCCCTCTGCTGACGCCTTGATGTCATGCTTCTGACTTCTAGGACCACGAGGCAATACATTTCTACCATTTTAAGCGACTAGATTTGTGGCAACTTGTTACAACAGCCACCGGAAATTAATATACCCATTGTCTAAGACGTGGCTCAGTTTCCTCGGCTCTTGGAGGTCGTCCCCAAGGCTGGAGGACAAGCCCTTCCTCTCTGTGCGCGTGCTGCACCTTACTTCTATCGCTTGCACCTGCCTGAGTAGTTAGCCATTCACGTGTCTGTCTTCTCCGTGACAGCGAGGGTTCTGCGACGGTGGGCTTGGGCTTTTTTTTTTTTTTTTTTTTTGAGCTTGGGTTTTAGTCCTGGCTCCTCACCTGGCATTTAGCAGCCGCGTGGGTTTGTTGAAGTCTTGCTCTCAAGCTCTCATCTTTGTTAAATCCCTCCCTAGCACCCTGGCCTAGGTGCTAGGTGCTGGGTGCTAGGTGCTCTTGGTGCTGGGAGTGGGAGCCAGCGTGTCTGGCTTTGCCTCCCTAGGCCCCTGTCCTGTTTCCGCACACGTGGCCAGGTTAATACTATTTCTAAATTACTACTCAGCAGCTCCGTGCCTCCGGCACTCACGTAGCTCTGCCGTTGGGCCCTAAAGTACATTTCCAGCTCCATCTGCCAGTTCGCTGCTCCGTGGCCTTGTGCTCCAAGTTCACTCGTGCGCCCCTGGAACCCTGGACGACAGGAGAGCCGCTCTCTCCATCGCTGTCGCGGAGCCCTAGACATCTCGCCCTCTGCTTAGAGATGGTCTTGGCCGCCCGGGCAGGAGCGCGGTGCTCCTCAGAACTGCAGTTGGACTGGCCGTCCGTGCTTCGGTGCGGGCACCGGCATCCAGACAAATCAGCTTTTCCATCTCCGCATCGCCTCCGGGACGCGAGGGCCTTCGGTGCAGTGAGGTGCCTTGTTAGCTGGCTAAGTTTAAAGACCCTCACGAGTGGGATTGTAACACAGGGACGGCCAGCAGCCTCTTCTGATGTAGGCTTATTTTCCCAGATTTCCCCTTTTGGCATTTATAGGGCTTTCTCTTATAAGACTTCGTGAAAATAGAAGACGTGGCTAGACAGCGGCCTGGTTCTCCAGGGTTCAGATAGAATGATGCCTTAGCAACAGACGTGCGAGGAGAAGACAGGCCTTCAGCTTTGGGCGAGGAATGCGGGCGCTGTGGCCGGGGAGGAGGACCGCTTTCCTTCACTGTCGGCGGGGCCGGGCCCCGCAGGTGCTGGGTCCCGGGGGACATGAAAGGAGCTGAGGAGCCCGGGGCCGCCGGTGTCGGGCAGGGCAGGGTGGCCAAAAGGTCGTGCTAAGAAAGACTTCAAGGAAATCTGTGTCCCCTGCTCACCTCAAGATCCCCTAAATTGCCATCTGGACCTGAGCACCGCTTTATCGTCCAAAACATTTGAAGTTATTTGTGATCTTAAAGTAATGTGAATGCCGAATCGTGGCACAGATCAGTAGTGGGTTCCCTTTAGTTACATGTTGGGATCAGACATAGGAAAGAAAATGTTATTTCAGAATAATCCTCAATTCCGGAGATTTCCATAGCATTCTTTTCCCTCCCGTAGTGAACAAAGCGGCTTTTTTTTTTTTTTAAAGTCGCCTATTTTTTGCTCAAAGTTACCTATGTAGAAATAGCAAACTTAGTTTTCAAATTCTCTCCTTCACCTTCTCTTTCTCGAAAATGCAACGTAGCTTGGTGGGAAGGACTTGGGAGGCCTGGGTTTAAATCCTGCCTCAGCTCCTTACTAGCTTTGTGACCTCGAGCAACTTAGTTTCTCGGAACATCAGGTGCTGCATCTCTGAAAGGAGACCTTGCCAGGTTCTTGAGGGTGGAATAGGGTCATAGTAATCATTACTTTTGGGGGGGGGGACTCTTGTGGGGGGGGCAGCGGGAAGGACCAAAACGATACGATGTGCTTATCCTCTTACAGGCAATTGAAAGCTAATCAGATTATAGAAGCGAAGTCGGCGCGAACGTAGGGTGCGTTCTGATTCTGTGTTTCTTAAGGGAAATAATTTCCGCTGCTTGATTCTTTGCAGAATAATGGGACCACTGAGCATCAGGTGGAGTCTTTCATAAGGAAAAAACTGGAGTCACTGTTGAAAGAATCTCAAATCCGAGACAAGGAAGATCCCGATAGCTTCACAGTGAGGGCGCTACTGAGGGCCACGCACGAAGGCTTAAATGCACACCTGAAGCAGGTACGCACGCCCGAAACAGGTGTATGACTCCCGCCCGTACGTGTCCTCCGGCAGGAAAAAAAAACAGAACCTCGTACTCGTTTCTGATCATTTGCCACCTGTGAACCTCTCCGGTCTCTTCCGTTTGCATCCTCATACCCCTCGAGAAGCGAAAACCCCCTGTGGCAAAAGGATGCGAGAAGTTACTAGACGCGCTCGGGCGGGAGGTAGAAGTTACCCGAGTACCTGCTTCACTGGGACCCCGGGGACCAAGCTCAGTGGCCCCACACCCCGCTTGCCCGCCTGCTCAGCTGGGGGGCGGGCTCGAACCCCCAGGTGCCCCCCACCCCTCCCCACCCGTTGGTCTTCATGCTGCATTGGTTGTGCACCCTGAGCGCATCTTCCATCGCTTCCACTCCTCGGATCCGTGGCCGGGTCCCTGTCTAGGGGACGGGTCCGTGTCAGCCGTCACCTGCGCCTTTCTTGCCCTCCTTCAGTCTAATCTCTGCTCTGAAACTAGCGTGATGTCTTAAAAATGTGAATCTGCTCACGTCCCTCGACCGTTCAGAGTGTTCAGTGGCTTCCGTTGTGATGGGGGTGACTACAAACCCTAACCAGGCTCTCAGGGACCTGCGTCACTGCATCCTTGTCTCCCGCTCTGATCTTCCCTTTTCCCTGTCACGCTGCTTCCCACAGTCGTCCCACCCACCACAGCTGTTTGTGCGCCATGGTCTTCCTCACAGCCTTTCCCTCCGTCTGGAACATTCCATTCCTACATCTGCTCTGGCTGAGACTCCTACTTGTAAATTCCAGCTTCAGTGCGAAGCCCCGAATGAGTCCTGCCTTGACCTGGGATTGGATTCGTTGTCCGCTTTACATAGTCCGTGATAGCCTGTGATAGCTTCTCTTTTCTGAAGTTTTTTTTTTTTTTTTAACACATTTGGAATTATTTGCTCAATATCTATCTTCTCAACTAGATTATAGGTTCCATGAAGACCAGAACCACGCCAGTCTTAAATGACCATTATGTTTCCAACTCATTATAGTGCCTGGGCCCTAGTACAGCTTCCAGAAGATGTTGTTGAGTGAATGAATGATTTGGGCTCCGGCTGATATTTTAACTCTGCTTTCTAATAGAAATATCCGAAATGGACAAGGAAAAAGGAGGGTGGGCTTATTGATATTATCACTGCAGGGCATTGAGGGCTCTTATCCTGGCCCAGAGGAGATTCAGGAAGTCACTGGCTCAGCTAGTAGCAGACGTCCCTGCTCCTGCGGCCTGTCCTCCAGGACTCAGGGATCACCAGGCAGAGGGAGGACCATACGGGGTGACCACCCTTCCTCTCTAGAGTTTGCGCTGAGCTCTGGTTGGGCAGCTTAGCTCATGCACCCACCCCTAACCTAATCACCGTGGCCTCGAACACGTGGAACAATAGCTTGCCAAGGATATAGGATAATATTGGCTGGTTAATGTCAAAGAGAAGTTACCTGGAAGTGGTGCCGAGGCTAGGTAGGCCCTCTGACGCTGCATGTTAGAGAGGCAGAATGGAACACTGGGGAGGCAACTGAAATAGGAATTGCAGTGTGCCCTTACCACTGATCATACAATTCTGAATTTTCTTTTAAAGATTTTATGTATTTATTTATTTGAGAGAGAAAGAGCATGAATACAGGGAGGGGCAGATGGAGAGGGAGAAGCAGCCTCCCCAGTGAACAGGGAACCCGATGTGGGTTCGATCCCAAGACCCTGGGATCATGACCTGAGCCGAAGGCAGCCGCTTAACTTGACTGAGCCACCCAGGTGCCCCCAGCTCTGAATTTTCTTAAAAATTTCTGTAAATAGCAATAAACTCCTTCCCTTCCACTTTCCCCTTCCAACCATTTAGTTTTAACCACACCGATGTCTATAAAATTAGCACATTCAGCTAGCTCACCTTAAGTTCTGCTTCTTGTTCTTAGTGAATTCTCATTGGCTAATCTGGGCCACTCATTTCCTCTGAGGCTTTTGGAGAAGGCTTTGCTCCATCCTCCTAGATCATTCCAATTGGACAGGCCACCGCGGGTCTTGGAGATTTGGGATGAAACAAATTAAACCCACCTTTCTTTTGTTATTCACGTAAGAAATCCTAATGATAACTTGCCTGCCAGGTAAGATGGTAAGGGATCTCAAATTTCCAAGATGTCGTGGAGCAAACCTCATCCCCCTGTTTCTTATTCTTTCCTTTCCATTAAATCTGGGCGACTCTAAGAATGCATTAGACCCATAAAGTGGAGCCTGTGACTTTAATACACTGGGCTGTAGAGTGTTGACGTTTTTGCCACTGCTGTTGCAGTGGTGACCATATCCAGCTACCTTCTTAACTCCAAGGTTTTTGTACAGTTGATGATCAGCTTGAGTAGATCTTCAAAAGCAGTCCATGCACATTAACCAGGCAAATGAAATTACCCTGTAAAAACCCCCTTCCAGCCGCCCAGCATTTTCTGAACTGTCCCTTTCCCCAGCCAATTCTTAACCTTCCCCTGTCCCCACCGCCAGTTACATCTTCGATTAGTCTCTATGGATATATGTCAGCGCCTCCCTGGCCTTTTGGTTTTAGGTAGTTTTGCTCACACACATTTATTTCCATTTCTGTGGTAGTCTCTGCTTTTTCTTTGCTTGGCCAGAGGTCCCAGGAAGATGGGGCCTGCCGATCTCTCCTTGCAGCATGTCATTAGCCACGAACCAGCTAATACAGAGTTTTAGGGATGACAATTGAGAAAGAGTCTAAACCCTTTTGGCAGAGTGGCCTTTTCTTTCCCCTAATGAGAGATAGACTTGAGCGAGGAGATCTCTACCCTGGAAAATTAAACCACATGAAGAAAATGTCAGAGGCTACAAATACCTCTTCCAAATGCTCAACTACAGAAGGAGTTAATTTCAATGAACAGATAAGCTCTCTTGTGGTTAACTTAAACGAACAAAAGCAATCTTATTACCTAGTAGATGTGTGTGGGTTTTATTTATTTTTAATGTTTTAAAATCCCAAGTAGCAATATTCGATCAATGCGATTGTTATTATATTATTTTTATTCAACAGAATTGGTACTTAAAGACTTTTGGTGATTTTTCAAAATTTAATCTATTTTTAACTCAAAATGACTTATTCCCATTAAGAGCATTCAGAGGAATACATCGTGTGCTGTAGAGATCCTGCACAGCTGGACATTCCTGAGAGGCCCTTGACACCAGTTTTGGGGAAGCTGTTGGCAGTTACTATCTCCCGGTTGGCGCCCACATTTCTCCATTCCAGCGTCTCCCTCTCTTGAGGCAGACTCCACAACTTTTGGGGTAGTGATGGTGTGGGACAGGAAAAAAATGAACAGGACCTGCTTGTTCTACCTAAGGCAGAGAGGGTTCCCTGCCATTCCACCAGAACTAAGGAAAAAACAAAAGCAAGGAAGAAAAATAGTCATATCATGTTTTTATTTACTCAGCATCCAGATGTGAAGGAAAATGGGAAGAAATCACACGGACGATCCCTCATGACCAACTTTGGAAAACATAAGGTATGAATTAAGAGTGACAAATGTGCATAACCCAATTAAACAAGAGACTGGACAGGACAGTATCATCATAACCTTGGGATAACTGATGATTTCTTAAATAGGACCCCAGAAAAGAAAAAATTGATAAAGATTGAGAAACTACTGTTACTTAATAAGCAAGTAGCCTACTTGGGAAGAGTATTTTTGATACATGTATCCAACAAAGGACTTCTATCCTGGATATATAAAGAACTCTTACAAATCCATAAAAAGATACCATAATCTTTTTTAAAGACTTGTTTTAGAGAGAGCGAGAGAGAGCATGCACAAGCAGGGGGAGGAGCAGAGAGAGAGAACTTTCAAGCAGACTCCCTGCTGAGCCCAGAGCCTGATGCGGGGGCTCAGTCCCACAACCCATGAGATCATGATCTGAGCCGAAACCAAGAGTCAGATGCTTATTGGACTCAGCCATCCGGGTGCTCCCATAGTTTTTATTAAAAGGGCAAAAAACTTAAGTGGCCTTTCACAAAAGAAGATTTCCAAACGGCTAGTACAGAAAAGGTGTTCACCCTTATCAATCCTCTAGGAAATGCAAATTAAATGATGATGAGATTTCGTATATACCCTTCACAATAGTAGAAATAAAATGATTGACAGCACCAAGGGTTAGTGAGGACGCCAAGCAACTTCAACTTTATACACTGCTAATGGGAGTGTGCGCTTGTGCAATCACTTCACACTAATTCACACTATCTCCTAAAGCTGTATTACGTACCATGTCTTATCAGTTCCATTGCTGTGTTTCAGCCTCGTGGCATATACCTAACGTTTATAGCGGCATTAGTCATAATAGTACCAACAGGAAAGAGTTCAAATATCTGTCAACAATAGAATGAATAAAAATTATGGTATATTCACATAAAGTAGTATTTTTCTAAATATGAGGAATATTTATATTGAAAATCAGTATTTGGGCACCTGGGAGGCTCAGTGGTTGAGCATCTGCCTTTGGCTCGTGATCCCGGGGTCCTGGGATCGAGTCCCACGTTGGGCTCCCCACATGGAACCTGCTTCTCCCTCTGCCTGTGTCTCTGCCTCTCTCTCTCTGTGTCTCTCATGAACAAACAAATACAATCCTTAAGAAAAAAGAAAAAGAGAAAGTCAGTATTTTGTAGCTTAGAGAATGGCTTTCCACACCATGTTATTTAATCATCATAACAATAATCCTTTAAAAGTAGTTGTTATTGCCCTTTCCTTTAAAAAAAAACAAAAACAAAATCCACACACGAAGCAGCTAGAGGTTAGCCAACCTACCCGCTGGGTGAGAGGCCAAGCGGAACGTGAGATCATCAGATGCTGGTGTTCCCACACCGTGCACTTTGAGGTTCTCAGAACATCAGTAACACCTGAGAAGGTTCTAGACCAAATTGACACCTTCCTGTCAGTGCAATAGACTTGAGTGTGTTTATGCCAGCAGTATGGCCGGGCGTTTTATTTGTTGAGTAAGAAAAATTCTGGAGGGTGATGTGGTCCCACAGTTACCTCGGAGTGGGCTCCCTTTTCCTTTCTAAGCCGCAGTCCTCAGATGTCCAGGGTTCTCTATCTAAAGGTCTCACTTTGTTTGTGGAAGCTGGTTTTCTTTGGTGGCAGGGTTTTCTATAGTTATGGGGTCCCTCCCCATCATTTGTTTTTCTGTTCCGTATTGCCAAATATTTGGGGTTGTCTCTAATGTGCTGGGACACAACTGCATCCTTCCAAAAAGTCTTTATTTCTGACAGCCTTTAGTCCTGCCGCCTTTCAGCCTGAATCCTGTGGGTAATAATTTTTCTTCTGTTGGTAGAAATTAAAATGGGTCAAAATCTCCAAGCGTAGTTTGATTTAGACAGTTATTTGAGCGGACGCCGATCAAAAGCAGGAAAAAGTCGTTCATAAAAAAAAAAAATTAGTGCTTGTCTTTTTTTGTCAAGCCTGTCTTTTATAAGTCAGCGAGAATAGTAAATTTCCTAAAGAAAAGAACATTTTATCTCCTTAATGTCATTTGAATAGATATTACAATATGACCCTCCTGCTTATAGAGACCTTCAGTGCACGACGAAATAGCCTTCTAAAACCTACATCTTCTGTGGCTTAGAAGTCAGCTTTAGAGCAAGAAACCCTCAGTTTTGCCTTAATATTATAATTAGGATCATAGACGCGATTATTATTAATGGTAAGGCAGTGAATTAATGGTTAATGTGTTTTCTTCCAAGTAATTGTCCTTTTTGCGTATATCGTAATACCCCACCCATTCTCTGTATGCTGTGGATGGACCTGATGTGGTGAGTTTGTTGTTAAGTTCACTGTGACTTTCCAGCAGAAAACCACAAAATCACGATCTAAGTCTTACAGTACTGACGATGAGGAGGACACACAGCAGAATCCCGGCAAGGAAACCGGCCAGCTGTACAGGTAAGAGTGCGTCTGCACGTTCCTGGCTCAGGCTCCTGGGCCCTCTCCCTTCCCATCAGCTGGGCTGCTTTAGTCGCATGTGTCTAGAGAAGCGGATCTCGAGGTCAGGGGCTCAGTGCAGCAGGACATGTGAAAATCAACCGGGGCGGAGACAAGAATACCTGTCGGGGACTTACACGGGCCTGGCACACTGCGAGCGCCTCCTAAGCGCCAGCTGTGGCTGCTGTCAGGTAAGAGGCAAGCGTGTTCAGAGGAGAGAGGGGCCGCAAGAGCTAGTACAGAGGGCTCTCCTAGGAGGCTAGCGGAAAAGACGGACGGTGAGCGCGTGGTAAGAGCCAGGCACCTCACATCAGGCCGACTTGAAACTCTTGTTCCCGCAACACTAACATGAGACGAGTCAGGCTTCTCACATGTTTCTATTTCTTAGGGTCATTGTAAGGACTAAAGGAATTAAACTGCTTAGCCTGATAAGCCCTGTTCTAATTAACTAAGCACTCAAAAATATTAATTGCCGTTTTCCTTGTTATTGCCAATAGATTTTTCTTTTAATATAAGTTTTATTTATTTATTCATGAGAGACACACACAGAGAGAAGCAGAGACACAGGCAGGGGGAGAAGCAGGCTCCATGCAGGGAGCCTGAGCGGGACTCGATCCCAGGACCCTGCGGTCACGCCCTGAGCCAAAGGCAGACACTCAACTGCTGAGCCCCCCAGGCGTCCCTATTGCGGATGGATTTTGAGATGAATAAGATGATTTTCTGGCAGCTTGTGTATACAATAAAGTCACAGAGGAATGGAAATTATATACAGATAAATGCACACACGCACACACACGCCTGTGCCTTTATTGAAAGACTGAAATTAAATGAAATTAGAAGCATAGAGGGAGGTCTTGTAGGAATGGACGGCATTTAGTGCCCAGTTAAATTTTATATTTAGCTTCACTTCAACAGAATGTCCATACATAAAATAGTAACTAGTAAGGGCAGAGAGGATGTGTGTGGTTCCTACCCTCAGGGTACACAAAATTCAATATGTACTTACGGTAAAGGATGTAAGAGGAATGGGGTCACCTTCCAGGGGACCTGTGCCACGAATGTTCTCAAACAGAAGTCCAGGTCCTCCTCCTGCCAACGGGGAGGAGATGCCCGGTGAAGTCCGGTGTTACTGGCTAGCGGCGGATCGGTGGCAGTCCAGCCCTTCCCAACAGAACTCACACATGCACGAGAAGGCACCGATTCTTGGCCACGCAGTGAATGAAACCACATCAGGAGGATTTTGTGGTGGAGAGAGGGCTGAGCTGGGAATCGTCCTTGGGTTCTAATCCTGGCTCCATTAGGAGCAGGTAGGGAAGGTGGAGTAAGCACAAACCCCAACCCCTCCCAGCTCTCAGTGACACGAGTCCTTGGCTGTGTACCTCCCAGGTTGGGTCGGCGCAGGAAAACCATGAAGCTCTGCCGAGAGCTCTCTGACTTGGTGGTGTATACAAACTCCGTGGCCGCCCAAGACATCGTGGATGATGGTAAGGAGTGAGTTCTTCTGTTGGGTAGACCTTCTTGACCTTTCTTGGTCAGCCGTTTACTAATCTCTTCTCACTCAGATCATCAGCACACATTTCTGGAACTGCGTAGCGTCCGATGTGTCAGGAAGCTGACCGCCAGTGTAACACTGCTTAGCTCACAGGGAGGGCAGAGGAAGACTTCATGATTATATAAGGACAGGTGCATTACTGCAACGTCTCGCCCAAGGCGTGAACTGTGGAGACCTGACCTGGTTTCACGGCCAGGTCACAGATGGACGTGGCCAGTGTGAATGACCAGAAGAAAGCAGAAAGCTAAAATAACGCCTCGATTAAGGAGGGCACATGACGCGATGCGCCCTTGTTATCCCATATGCTGGCAAATTGAGCTTAAATAGTAACCATAATAAATAACACCTTGAAAAAAAAAAGAACACCTTGAAAAGTCCCATATTTTCTGATTGGAAAATCTGACTTTGGTGAAAATGATTCAGCCCACGGATTGAAGATTTAACAGAAAGAGCAGGAATTTCAGAAGCACTGATTCTTTCACTGTTTTCCACCTATTATTTGCATCCTGTTGCGTTGAGAGATCCTAGTCACAAGTGTTCTTACCCTGCACCTTCCTGCTAGCTCCTCTTCTTCCCTTTATCCTCGTCCCTTAGCGTTTCTGTTTTGTTCAGTTACTGAATGCTTATAGAAACAAACGACAGTCGTGCGGCCTTGCAGTCTAATTTTAGTTTTAGTGGAAGTGAAATGCAAATTCAAAAATCTCCCGCTTTCCAACAAATCTTAGTAAAGGAAAAATGACGTCGTGCTGAGTCTTCTGTCTGTGTCAAACCTCCAGGATCCTCCCTTCAGGTCTCTCCTTTTTGTTTTTACCATTCCACAAGTGTATCTTTTTCTGTCCTACCTGTGGTGTTGATTCTTTTTTCAAATGAAGACAATAAAAAAAATAATGATTTCACATGCGAGAACATGAGAACCTGTCCTTATAATAACCGTCCATAGCTAGGAAATCAACCCAGTGAGTGGTTTAGTGGAGCTAAAGGTGTATTTGGTTTAGAAGAATGTAATTTTTTTGGAAAAGATTTATTTATTAGAGAGAAAAAACATGAGCGGGAGTGGGCAGAGAGAAAGGAGAGAGAGAGAGAGAGAGAATCCTCAGGCAGGAGGTCCCCTAAATCCCAGGACCTGGAAATCATGACCTGAGTGGCAACCAAGAGTCAGATGCTTAATTAGCTGAACCACGCAGGTTCCCCCAGGAGTATGATTTCTAATAAGTAACTTATTAGAAATCATAATTCTATTAGCTTAATGGAAAATAGTATTGAGTACTCTCTAGCTGTTGAACCGCCGTGTCGCGTGGCAAAGTGAGCGATAAATAATGAATGCATGCCTTATCCCAATGCAAAGCAACGCAGATCTATTCATATGCTAATTGGCATGTGCCTAATTAGCAAGGTCACCTTCTTGAGGATGTGGTGTACATACTTATGTGGAGAGACAGAGAGAAGAGTGGCACTGGCTCTGGTGTCACTGCATCTGACTGTGGCTTGTCAAAAAGACCGTATACCTTCTCCTGTCATGTTTTAAGGCATTACCCCTCAAAACCTGCAAGTAAGATTATTTTTCGTATGCTTGACAAACAGAAACTACGGTTTGTAAGTGTGTCAATAAAATATATGTGGTACGGAAAGAGTGTCCCTGAGGGAAACCGTCAGATTAAAAACTGTAATTCCCTAATCTCTTGGCCTCCGTCTGGTAGTCACGATCATCCCAGGATCCACCTCTAGAGTGTAGTCAGTAGTCATCTGGCCAGCGTTTAACGTCCTAGGTCAGACAGTCCTGAGGACGCCAGGGGCCCTGGGATGATGCTACGTGCTCCAACTAACACGCCGTGTGGATACCATTCAGGCCCAGTTGGCCCAGCAGGGCCCGAGGGTTCAACTCCTTGCCGTCATGAGCCGTGTCCCTCCGTCTGGGTTCAGACACACTGAGCTTGTCAGAGTAAACTCTAGAATGGGCACGAGGCTCTGGGCAAACTTGGGTCTTTATTCGGGTCGGCTTCGCCCAGCATGTCCAGAAGACTTATGAGGGGTCACTTTGGGGGTAGGGTGAGGACGTTTGGCGAAGGGGTAGGAGTAGTAGGGCCATTATAGACCCGGGATTGGGAGACAAGGGTGGGATACTGAATGCGGGGAGGTTAACTCCATCCATCACGACCCTTAGATTTGGAGCCTCCTTGGCCCTGGGTTGATGATAGTCCAGGCAGAAACTTTAGCACGGGCTTCCTATTCTTTTACTTCCCTTTATTTTTTTTTTTTCCCATGGTTTATGTGGATGGTGGGTGATTATTCTTGTTTCTGAGATTTTACATATTTATAATGCTCTTTCAAAATCTTTCTCCATTATTATGCCTTTTATCCAAATAGCTTTCGACTGGTTTCATAATTCTATTCAAATTAACTTTGAAACTCCGTTTTTCTCCTTTGGAATTGGTCTTTTATTTTCTTTCTGCTGTCAGTTAATAGGTGCTTTACATGTGTGCTTTTAGGACGAATGCCGTCAATGAGTATCAGGAATAAGTTACATAGTTTTATTCATCCATGACTGTCTGTATCTTTGGCAAAGAGAGTCTGTTGGAATCACACCCCTAGAAGATAATTTTCCTGCCAGCCCTCCTCATACTAGCCAGATAGACGTGAATTAGTGGGATGATTGAATTTCTGGGAGAACGCGGGACTCAGAAACATGCAGTTATCCTTGCAAGATGAGCAGCTCAGATTTGACCTCAAAACCGTGAAGAGAGTCTCAAGAATGGGATTTTATGGATCTTTCTTGGTCAGAAGTTACTTCTAGTCCAGTCTGAATTCAGTCTTTGCTCTGCATTTTCTTATGGGCATAATCTGATGTATTAGAAAGTCTTCGTGGGTGCTGTTTCCCTGACTGAGGTTCTCACTTTTCTTTTTTCTTTATTACAAACTGCCAGGAACCACAGGAAACGTGTTATCATTTAGTGAAACAAGAGCACATCAGGTGGTTCAGCAGAAATCGGAGCAGTTCATGATCTACAACCAAAAGCAGCTCACGAGGATTTACCCGTCTGCCTACCGCATCGATTCCAGTAACTTCAACCCTCTGCCCTACTGGAACGCAGGCTGCCAGCTAGGTGCGTATGCCTCGGAGCCTTTCTCGGTAGGCCCTGGCTCCACGCTGCTGCCTTGCCTAATTCTCTCAAACTTTGAACTTGCGCAGTGGCTCTGAACTACCAGTCCGAAGGGCGAATGATGCAATTAAATCGAGCCAAATTCAAGACCAATGGCAATTGTGGCTACGTCCTCAAACCCCAGCAAATGTGCAAAGGTGTGTGTCCACCTCATCGTCCTCTCTCTGAATGCAGGTCGCCTGAGTGGAGCAGCTCTCCGGAAAGTGTGATACGTCAGCGTTTTGCAACATGATTGTATAAAAAGCGTTAGATTAAGGTGTTGGCGTCTAAAGTAGAACTCTCGTCACAACTTTTTTACACGTGGGCAGCGTGACGTCTAGAATGTTCTCTTGTGAGGCGGTGCACACAGAGGGACACAGGAAGCAAGGGATTGTCCTCTGAGCTCCAGAGTCCCAGCCTGATACCCCCTGGGCATTACTTCTACATTGTACTGCCTTGTGAGGCCTGAGCCCCATCTTTGAGGAGTCTGAAACCCACCAGCAAAATTAAAATAGCACCCGAAACAACTTCATCGAGCCCCTTTAGTCCGTGCAGTCCCATTACAGAATAGCGCGAACAACGGAAAAAGAGAATGTAGTGTTAGATCGAAAAAAACTCTTGTTTGGGTTCTGCTCATTAAAATTCTTTAAACATTCTCCAAATCAGATTTTTAACAGTTCAGGTAAGGAAGTGGCGACAAATGTGCCTTTAGGATTTGATGCCTCGCATGTTTTCTTACTCTGCTGTTTACTACTTCATTTCAAGTCTTCTTTCTGTTATATCCACCCTCCGTCCCTATGATAGTTTAAGTCAGAAAATTATGTGAATCTGACATAACTACTCCCCTTCCCTCCACTGTCGGCATTCCAAGAAAATGCCTCTCTCCCCCCCTTGCCGGGATTGATAATTGCACCACAGACACTTTAAGTTGTCCCAGGCCCTTGCCTCTGGGAGCATGGATTCTAGCAAAAACCTCAGCTGCAGAAATGCCAGCTGGCATTGCCCTCAGGTAAAAGCCACACTGATGGTTATGTGATCATTTCTTTGCTCCAAGAAACACTGTAGTAGTTCAGCACTTGTTTCTTTGTTCTACATGCTTAAACGGGGTGTGTGTGTGTGTGTGTGTGTGTGTGTGTGTGTGTTTGGGTTTTCCCATGTTACGAGCCTCAGCTTTTAAACTCTGCTTTACTTGGTTTAGGTACTTTCAACCCTTACTCTGGTGACCCACTTCCTGCCAACCCCAAAAAGCAGCTCATCCTGAAAGTGATCAGTGGACAGCAGCTCCCCAAACCTCCAGACTCCATGTTCGGAGATCGAGGCGAGGTAAGCCACGATAATTTTATGGTGTTTGCCTTGTATCTGAGATATCTTCAGGGTCCCCCACCCCCACCCCACGTATGTGTTCATAAACGAATACTGATGTCAGCTCATCAGATATCAACCGGCTTACTGGTTGCCCTGGAGCGCAGGGCATCACCTGTTTGGGAGGCAGGGCATGTCTTTCCTCGCAGGCGCGGTCTATATCCTCAGGCTCTTTGCCGCTCCTGCTTGTCAACCTGGCATTTTGGGGTCTTGGCTGCTGATGGGAGACACCCACAGCCCTGCTGCTGGGTTCTGTCGGAGGCTCCTTGTTGCAAATCTCAGCTGGCCCACGACGCCGTGTGACCGCCCGCTTCACCCCGTCAGCCTCTGAGCCCGTCCTCCGCAGGGGCTATTTCCAGGCTTCCCTCTCGTCTTCAACAGATGGCACCGTGTCCTACTCCTCAGAAAGTAGGGGCTCCATACGGGAGGGACCGTTCCAGCCTAGCCCACACCACCACGGTCTCTCGTCCGCCCCGCTGAGATCCCCCCCCCCCACCGGGTGACTGGTCTCCCCGCTGCCCATCTGTCCTCCCCTTAGCAGCAGCAAGAGTGATGCTCGGACAGGCTCAGAAAATGTATCCCTTACCCTTTCTTTCCTTCCTTCTTTTCTTCATTGTCTGCAAAAGTGAAGACTCGCTTTCTGTTTTCTCTCTCAAACCTTTTATGTTGAAACATTTTAAACCTCAGAAAAAGTTGTGAGAATAGTCAAATTAATGCCATGTCTCCGGCATCTAGATTCACCAATAAAATCACTAAATTTTGTTACATTCACTTTCTCTCTTTCACGTGTAGATGTGTATGTGTCTGTTTATGTATAGATGTGTGCGCACATTTGTACGTATGTATGCACATACACATACATGAGAGGTGAAGCAAATGTAACAAAATTCAAAAATTATATACACGTATATACACAATCGCATTTCTTTTTAGAGTCATTTGAGAATAAGTTGTTAACACCTTGACTCTTCAATACCTACGTATTTTAGCATTTATCTCCTGAGAATAAGAACATTCTCCTCAAAAAAAAAGAACACTCTCCTCTATAAGCATGATACAATCATGACATTTAATATTGATATAGTAATATTATTTCATATAAAATCTATATTTAGTTTTCTCAGGTGTCCCCAAATTGTCCTCCTATCTTCTTTCTTTTCTTCTTCTTTTATGCTTTATATATTCAGGATCCAGTAAAGGATCACACATTGCTTTTAGTTGTCATTTCTCTTTGGTCCTTTTAAAATCTAGAACAGTTCTCTAGCTTTCCTATTTTGTTTTCATGGCATTGACATTTTACAAAGTGTCCAAGCCAGTTATTCTCAGTCCTCCAATTTGAATTTACCTGATTGCTTCTTCATGACTGGAATAAAAAGAAATCTATTTGCCACCATCCAGTTCCATTCTCCCAGCAGCTCACCTGGATTACGCTCTGAGGAAGCTGACACTGGGGTCTCAGGTTTGCAGATGAGGAAACTGAAGCCCGGATATATAGCTTGCCTAGGGTGACACAGGAGCCCAGTCTCCAAGCAGGAAGTTACTCTTCAAGGCTATGGTCTTCTTGAATTCCTTATGAACAGAAGTCATACTCATTAGTTTCCCCCCAAAAAATCTGATATACCCGATGGTCTAGTTTTACCACAAGGTTGTAATAATACTCTCTCTTTATTTAATAGATCATTGATCCTTTCGTTGAAGTTGAAATTATTGGATTGCCAGTAGATTGCTGTAAAGATCAAACCCGTGTAGTAGATGACAATGGTAAGATGATAATCTGTTTACTTTTAATCAAGATGCTCTAGAAGGATCCCCCGGTGGCTCAGTGTTTGAGCACCTGCCTTCGGCCCAGGGCGTGATCCTGGAGTCCTGGGATCGAGTCCCATGTCGGGCTCCCTGCATGGAGCCTGCTTCTCCCTCTGCCTGGGTCTCTGCCTCTCTCTCTCTCTGTCTCATGAATAAATAAATAAAATCTTAAAAAAAAGATGCCCTAGAAATAAAGTTTGCAATGAAAAAGAAAAATGTATCTATATAGAGGAGAAACAAATTCCTAGAAATCGTAACTGCCATCTGAATTTATGTCAAAATCTTTTAAACAAAATTGAGTAAATGCAGGATTGATACATGGTATGTTTTGGTGGATTTGTAATCTAGGCTTTTAAATTCTTTGCTTTTTAAATTTTATTTTATTTATTTTTTAAATGCTTTTGAAGCAAATTTTTTTTTTCTAATGAAGAGAATTAATGATATTTTAAAGGGCAGGGTTAAAACTTAGGAAAATGCTTCCATTACAGTTTCTATATTGTACTTTCATGATGTAAGTTACTTCAAAGCTTTCATTTATGTTGCCTCTATGTTTTGAGGATTTTTCATTTTTTTCTGGAGCATGTAAAACCCTAAAGGCAAGTGCAGCAGGCTCCAGCAATTTTCCTTCTAAATATGTACATATGGTGGATAGGCAGCTTCCTTTTATTCTGGCCATGATGTAAAAAGAACTTTCTTTACCTAAGCCTCATGTCTCTCTCGGTGATCTTCTTAAATGGTGTCTGTTCATACATTTAGCAAACATTATGGCATACCTATTTTTCTCAATCTCTTGTCATTAATACTCCAAATCTAAACCATAAGCCTCAAAACATTTAAGAAATTAGAGGTTCATAGTGAAACCTTAAGAGGAGTTTTTCTTTTCTGTTTTTTAAATTTAAATTCATTTAGCCCACATATTGTACAGCACTAGTTTCAGATTTTTTTTTTAAGATTTTATTTATTTTAGAGAGAGAGAGAGAGCGAACTCCAGCATGAGCAGGGAGGGGGGGTGGATGGAGAGGGAGAGAGGATCTCAAGCAGACTCCACACTGAGCAAGAGCCAGATGCAGGACTCAGCCTCACGACCCCAAGACCATGACCTGAGCCAAAATCAAGAGTCAGACACTCAACCGACTGAGCCACCTCGGCGCCCCCTTAGGAGGAGTTTTTCTTTAGTGCTAGTTTAAGGAAAGGCTTCAAGAATAGCATAAACCTATTAGGAAATAACATGCTTAAAGGAAGCAGACTTCCTATATTGCATTTTCCTCCCACCAGTGCCCATTGTTCCGTTTTTGTTGTTGTTGTTGTTTTTTTTTTTTTGTCTCAGAAATACTTGAGAGGTCATGACTATTAATAAAAACATGATCTCTTCTCTTGTTTAGGAGGGACATTTCAGTGACTTGAGTCCATAATTATTTCCTTAGCTGAGGCATTTAACAGTAAGATTAAGTAGCTGATGCCTCTTAATACATGTATGTAATAAAATTTATTTTCATTTGTAGAAAAGAAAAACAAACTTGTCCAACGAAGTATGTGAATTTTTGTCAGTTTATGTAATTATTTTATCTGAGAAAATTTTACCAAGAAAATAATGTATTTTTACCTTTCAGAATAGGAGTTGAATCACATATCTTCCTATTTATTTTCAATAGCGATGAAACTCTATTGTTGATGTATTTAAGGTCTTCTTCATGGGAAGCCACTGGGAAACAATAGTGCACAGTTTAATTTTGCTCTGTAACTAGTTGTGTGACCTTAGGTGCATTACTTACTCTGAGTATCAATTTTTCTCAACAAGAAGACTTATAAATACTGACATTTCTTACCTTAAAGCATTTGTTACTTGTGTAATTTTAAAAGGTTATATAGTTCTGAAAGCCAAGAATAATGTGTCTTTTCTTAATTAGAAAAAAACTCACAAAAACTCTGCCTTGACATTTTTAGAGAATTGCTATAAGAATAAATAAGATGCTATATGTACAGTAGTATTGAAACCTGCCCAAGCACCCTATAAATGTTTGCTGGTGATTATTATAGCTTCAGAAATTTTTGTGGGTGAAAAGCATAATTTTTTCTGTTTTTGGCAAGGTGGGATCTCCCTCCTTCTTTCTTTCTTTTTTAGTTTAGTTTTTTGCTAAAACATTCTTAGATCACTACTAAAGATACTTTTTGAGCTTATTGACGCATCCTGAAATTGCCTAAAGAAACATTCCCTACCATGTGATTTGGGCATCAGAGATTAATAGAGTTGATGTAATTATTGATGGATAATCTTCCTACCAATTATTTTCTAGCAATGGGGCAAATTCCAAGGCTTTATTTCAATAAGGCAGCCCGGAGTGGCTTGGTCATCTTCATGAGTTTAATAACCATTGCAAGCAATTGTCAGTTGGCTCTGCAGATGCTGCTGTCAATTCCTTTTAGCCAAGCCCTTTGCTTTTCTGATTTTTCTCTCCCTATTTCTTGGAGGATTTAACCCTGTATGGGAAGAAACCCTGACGTTTACGGTACACATGCCAGACATAGCTTTGGTTCGGTTCCTTGTGTGGGATCATGATCCGATTGGACGAGACTTCGTTGGACAAAGAACTGTGACCTTCAGCAGCTTAGTGCCTGGTACGCGTGGACCAGCCTTTCCTCTCTAGGCTGACCGGTTTTTTTTTTTTGGGGGGGGGGGAGGTTCTTTGAAAGACTTAATATAGGACATGTGTTACATACAACATACGGCATATATGATACGAAAAATATGTGTTCTATGATGAGTGTTAACGTGCTTTGTGAAATGGAAAGACTCAGAGTAAAGTCAAACATCTCATTTAGTTGCACCCAGGGGAAAGCCAAATGTAAGTCGGAGTAAAAGGCAATTATTTTCTCTGCTTTTCTCAGGCTACCGGCATGTCTACTTGGAAGGACTGACAGAGGCATCGATATTTGTCCACATAACAATCAATGAAATCTATGGGAAGGTAAGAAAGATTACAGGGCTTAGAGCCACGTGCAGCAATCGTACGGTCCTTAACAAGGTCAATTTTTGACTAATTGCTTAAAAGGAACGTACATCTTGACAAAGTTGTTTGGCAGAAAAACTAGAAAGAAGCCCAGCGGGTCCAGTGTGCAGTGTCCCGTCCCCACCCACGGGATTGTGGATCCTTGCATTGTCTTGGGGCGTGTACTCGTTCCTTCCCCCTCGGGGACTTCTCTGGGCTTATGAGAAAACTGCTATTCTCTCCGACGATCACTTGTTGCACTAAAACAATAAATATACACTTAAATGTTGAGCTGTATGTTAGTGCTTAAGAAGAGCCCTGGCTGGCTGCAGGAGGCGATGGGGTGTCGCAGATGCTTGATGAATTCCCAGCACTAACCAGTCTGTGAGTCCAGCCAGTTCTAGGCAGGATGCCTTCATTTGGTGCCACTGTATTTAGCTGAATAACCCTAAAACTCTGGGAATGAATTTAAAGCTCCTCACAAGACTTTGAAGGACTTACTTTTAAGAAACAGACTCCAAAAATGTATTCTAGTTTTCTGCAGATGCTGCTCTCTTCCTTACATGACTCACTTGAGGTCTACAAATCAGTAGGCTGTCCTTTAGTCATGCCAAGGAATTGGGGCCTTGGCCACTGGAATGGATTTCCAGACCAGATGTGATCTTTAGGGACCATAGGGAGGCTTGACTAGCACCTAGGAAGGTCTAGTGCTCTGTATTAGGAAGTCTGCATTGCTTGGGGCTGCTCCTGTAGAGTTATAGACGTTCTCTGTGCCTTAGCTTCCCCATCTGTAAATGTAGGGCAGAAATGGTACCTGTCATCATAAAAAGCTATGTTATCCTTAGAAAGCTGGCTGGCATATAGTAAATGCTCAAAAATACTGGCTAATATTATTAATTTATGACTACAAGCCAATTTCTAGGGAGTGGGCCAATTCAGGCTGATTAGGGGGTATAATGTTTATCCTTACATCAGTTGGTCCCATCCCCAACTGGTAAGGGAGGGGCGCTCAATATTCTAAGAGTAATGAGGTTTTACTCTAGGACTTTCTATGTTTCGTCCTTGGTTTCTGCCTTTGCTACTTGTTGGGATGCTTCCTCTGGCATAAATGCACACAACTGAAGTTTTAATGATTTAAACTGTCCATTTTAATGATTGAAAATGATTCTTGGATTTCCAGGAATCCCAGGTTAACTAAGTAGCAACTCTAGCATTTTATCCTGCTCTAGAGAAACAATACAATTCAGAATCTATTTAAAACTTGAGCCAGAAAGAAATTAAAATATGAAAAGAAAGCATCCCCTTGGGATTTCCATCCTCCTAAAGAGAGGTCTACTGCTAAGTCGCGGTACAGATCACTTTCAAGGCATATTCATGTTGAGATGCATAACGTGCACAATGTGGTGGTGATGAGTTGAGCAATGAAAGAACCTGTGACTAAAAATCACCAAAGGTGGAAGAAAGGGTTTATGGAAGCATATGCATTCTTTTGTTTTTACTTGTGCCACTTTCTTGAATGAGCCCAAATTGTGTTCTGTTGTGTTTTGTTTTCTTCCCTTGCAGTGGAGCCCTTTAATACTCAACCCCAGTTATACTATATTGCACTTTCTAGGAGCTACAAAGGTAGTTTCTCAGCATGGGCTTTGTTGTTGCTGACACATTTCTTTTTAAACGGTTATGGCAGCATGCTCTCTCATATCACTCCATTTCCTGCTTCCCACTTTGAAACATGCATCTGTTGCTTTAGGATGGCTGAAGTTCGTAACAGTCTCTTAAGTGTGGAAAATGTTCCTGTCACCTTGTCATCTCTGGGTAGGAAGCTTCTGGGTAGCTTGGTTGTGAAGACGGAAGGCTACCTCCCCACAAAGTAAGGTCCCTGAGACGTGCATGATACTGTGCAGACATGCTGTGAGCTGCCGTTCTCTTGGTTGGAATATCCTCCAGTGGCCGTCAGATTTTGTTTCGTGTCCATTTTTCACGGAGCTGTCATTGGAAAGGCAAGTTGTCAACACAATGGGATTGGCCTAACTTGTGCTTCATTCTTTTGTGTCTTCAGAGCAGACAGCTCCAAGGTCTGAAGGGATTGTTCAATAAGAATCCCAGGCATGGTTCTTCAGAAAACAATTCCCATTACGTTCGGAAACGATCAATTGGAGATAGAATTCTACGACGCACAGCCAGCGCTCCAGCCAAAGGCAGAAAGAAGAGCAAAATGGGCTTCCAAGAGATGGTAGAGATAAAGGATTCTGTGTCTGAGGCTGCGAGAGATCAGGATGGTGTCCTGAGGAGGACCACACGGAGCTTGCAAGAGCGCCCTGTCTCTCTACCCGTTGACAAAAGTCTTCTGGGGGCCTTGTCACTGCCCCTATCTGAAACAGCGAAAGACACTGAAGGAAAAGAAAACTCTCTGGGTAAGATGCTTTAAGTTTCTCTAAGAATGAATCTTTTGAAGCCGTAGTTTGGTCCCTGTTTACCATTGTGACCTGGCTGACGTTCCACAGTCAAAGTAAAAATATACAAAAAAATAATAATAATAATTTTTAATGTTCTCTTTAGGAAGAGAAGTAGAAGACTTTCTCTAGAAAGTCTTTCTCTAGAAAGGAAGAAGACTTCCCGAACTTTGGGAAGAGGGTAGAAGAACTCTTTCCTAATCCCCTACAGCCTCAAAATAACATTGACATTTGGAATTGGTAGTGAGGGATGAGGGGGATAATCATGTTTGATGGTATGGAGCCCAGTCTGTGAGGTGCCCTCTAGGGAGGTGAAACCTGCAAAAGAGGAGCAGAGATCTTGGTTTTCCAAGCAGGTGTAATATTTACTATTTTTCTGAGGATAAATAGAATTCTATTGATTTTTCTGGGGTTGAATATAGCTGTATTTCTTTCCCCAACATAAAACACATTTCCATGATTGGAAATGTTTATGGAGAAAGAAGTGAAGCCAGATGTTAGAAGCAGGTCATCTTCTCCACTTGAGAAATCTCTGCTTCCTTGGGAGGCAGCCCAGGTGATGTTTTCCTGTGGCCTCATTTCCCTGATCCCTGGACATTGGCAGGAAAGGCAGCATGTCTGTGGCTCCTGTCCAGTTACAGTCTCCACAAGTATAGGGTCCAAGCCTTACCTGCCTTTTTCCTTTTTTTTTTTTTTTTTACCTGCCTTTTTCCTTAATTTGAGCATGATGCTACGCTCATATCAAAAACTTGATAAAGAATGATGCCTGCTTTGCAAGGTACCAAAGAGCTCCCGAGCTGTGTCAGTGACTCCCCTGCCCTTGGTAACTTAAGTACCCAAACTCTGTCCTTCCGATGGTCTCCGCAACAAAAGTGTTTTAATTAAATCAGAATCACCTCAGACATGGACAATGTGATACCTTTTTACTTTAGCAAAATTCTCCTTTTATCATACAATCTAATTTCAGTGTTCTGTTTTCTCACAAACTCCATTTTGCTTATATTGATTTTTGTTATAAGATATTCTAAGGAGACAAATTTTTGAATAGCTTATTTGAAGAGAAAAAAGGAAGTTTAAAACTTTGAAATTTTGCTAAGAGTAGTGTCAGAGAAGAGATAAAAATACGTGCTTTAAAGTTTATTTCAAAAACCCCATTTTGAGGGAAAATAAAGCTCTCCTCAATAGCAATAAACAATGGTTAATCCAGAAAGCAATATTGAGTTGATGCCTATTTCCTCCCTGTAACAGCTTTATAAGTTTGTCACTCTCATATATGTTATATGAGGCTTGTGGTAAATACAGAACAGAGACATGCAACGAACGATTCAAGTTAGACGGAGGAGAAAAATAAGTGGAGAAAATGTGGAATACAAAATTCTATATATAATTCTGTCCCCCGAAAAGAGCTTACAGTACCTATCTCTGAGTGGTAACATCACAGGATATTTAATTTTTTTCTTGATGATTTTAGGATTTATCAAACGTTTTAGGATGAATTTTTCTTTAGTTAGGAAGATATCTAATGAGTTACATAAATTCTCCTTTCTTGTATATCCTGTCTGAAAACATCTTAAAAAAACTTAAAATAATGAGGTCAGGAAAATTGAACATTCCATATTGTCTTAGCATTATCCTAAGCATAATGGGATACTCCAATTACTGTGAACTGTGCGTTTTTATAGCCTTCCATACTGTGCCTGGTATCTTACTGCCTCTTTGAGAAGGAGAGAACGCAATATGAAATTTGTGTATTTAAAACAAAAATATGAAAAAAAATAAAACAAAAATATGATTAACAAAAAAATTAACTAGCAATGGCATAGAACTGGTGACCAACTCTTAATTTTCACATCTCAAAGTCAATAGCTTTTGGTATTTTAATACATTTATTGCCCCTTCCAATCTGCTTTAGAAAGTGACTGAATTAGTTCTTTTGCATTTCTTTTTTTTTTTTTAAGTAATATGATTTGTGGTTTTTTACTAATACATGTGTAACTTTGAAAGTTTATAGTATCTTGCTTACAGGTACCACAGTACTTTGTTTAACAGAACTGTCTTGTTCTATTTTTATTGCCATGCTTCTGTGTAGTACAAATCTGAATAGGAAACAACTTAAGGTAATCCTCACTGTAAAAGTATGGTAACTCATTGACATTTTTTTTTGATAATGAATATTACATCCTCAGCTGATGTAATAGACGCCCAAAGGGAAGCTTCAGTGAAATTCCTATAAATATATTTCGCCATCTACTCATCACACAGACACTCTGTTGCAAACCTCTGCGATCCATAACTGTCACAACGTTAACAGACCTACATTCTCCATTTGTCTGTCTGAAGACAAAACATGAGTGTTTGCAGGTTCTGCAAAAGAGTGATGCGCGTTACCTAACATGTTGTTTGTTTCATTCAGCAGAAGATAAGGATGGAAGAAGAAAGGGGAAGGCAAGTATAAAAGACCAACACTTTCCAAATTTCAACAAAAAGTTATCCTCTTCCTCTAGCGCTCTCCTCCACAAAGACCCCCGCCCAGGGGGCTCCGCTGTTTCTGTCGCCAGCGCATCCAGCGCATCCATCACCGGGGAACAGCTGGGAGCCCCGGGCCTCCGGGGCGGGAGAACCAGATCACCTGCGCCAGGTGACTGCCCGGAGCAGGAGTGTCCCCGCAAACCCCGCTCCCCAAGGCAGCATCTGGCTCTGGAACCTGCACTTACCGCAGCGCAAGGTGGTCTGAGCACCCAGGCACCTGCACGCGCTGGAGGCTCTGGGGAGGACAGAGGCCCTCGGTCAGGAAGCAGGTTTTCTCAAAGCCACCTGGAGGGCAGGGACTTGGAGGGCAGCTGGGTGACGGGCCGAGCCGCAGCGTCCCTCTCTCTGTCCGACGTGTCTCTGCTGTGTGCTGAGCACCCCGACTCGCACTCCACGGCCGTTCTGCAGGACAGCGACATCTCCCATCTTCTTGATACTGTCCCTCTCGCCACCGCCACCGAGGGCGACCCGGGCGGCTCCATCTCGGCGCTGATCGGCCAGTGCGAGGAGGCGCGGGAGCCGGGGAGCCTCGCAGCGGCTCCTCCCCCGCACAGCACCTGCGTGGTGGCAGGTCATCCTCCCTTGCCCGCCCTGGACCCCGAGCCGGCCGTGGAGCCCGACGCTGCCACGGGAAAATGCAAGCCCTGCTTCGCGCGCGCATCCCCCGCCCGGATTCCCGCCAAGGGCCCCGAGGCCTCGGCGCACACGCTTCACCGAACCACCTGCGCGACTGCCCCCCAGCCGCCCCCGGAGGACCAGCTCGCCGTGGGAAACCACCGGCCCGGGGCCTCGGCCACGTGTCCCTGCCGGCCACCGCGAAGCCCCGGCGCCGGGCAGGTGCGAGGAGCGCCCGGGAGCCGCAGCCCCGCCCCGGCCCCCCCGGCCCCCGCCGCCCCGCCAGCCGACCGCGCGCCCCGTTTCCATCCTGGAGACCGCAGTGTCGTGGGGGCGGGGGACGCCGCAGGCCCCGCGGACCTGCCCGCACCTGCCGCTGAACGTCCCGGGGACCACGCAGGCCCCCTCGCGGCTCCTCTGCAGCCCAGGCGCAGCCCGCACGCGGCGGACCGCGTCCCCGGCGCTCGGAGAAACGGCCGCTGCCCAGACACCCCGCGCAGCGCTCCCGAAAGCACCTCTGGCCTCACCTGTCCAGGTGCTGCCGCTCCCACGCGCAGCCGCTGCTCGCACCCGGATGCCCACGCCGACCAGGCCCGCGTGCCCGCGCCCCGCCACGCGCCCCCGGGGCCCGCCCTCAAGCTGCCCAGCCCTTGCAAATCCAAGAGCCTGGGCGACCTGACGTCCGAGGACATCGCCTGCAACTTCGAGAGCAAGTACCAGTGCATCAGCAGGAGCTTTGTCGCCACCGGCCTCCGCGACCAGAAGGCCGTGGCGCTGGCGGCCGCCGCCCTGGAGCCCATGGACGCCCTGACGGAGCAGCTGCGGAGGCTGGTGTCCTTGGAGCAGGACGACGGCTGCCAGGTGCTCCGCGCCGAGCGCGACGCCAGCCCGCTGCCCCGGGCGCTGGTCCGCAAGCTGTCGTCGCGCAGTCAGAGCAGGGTGCGCAACATCGCCAGCCGGGCCCGGGAGAAGCAGGAAGCCGGCAGGCAGAGGGGCGCCACGCCCGGCCCCGCGGCGGGGGTGGTCCTCCGCCACCGAGCCGCCCCGCCGCCCGCCGGCACCCGGCACTCCACGGGCTCCTACATCGCGGGCTTCCTGCGCGGGGGCGCCGAGGACCGCGGCATCCCCGAGGGCGCCTGCGCAGCGCTGCGCCCCGCCCCCGGAGACCACGCCCCCGGAGGCCACGCCCCCGGAGGCCACGCCCCCGGAGGCCACGCCCCGGAGGCCACGCCCCCGGAGACCACGCCCCCGGAGGCCCCGCCCCCGGAGACCACGCCCCCGCCGCCCGCTTCTGCTCCCACGGCTCCGTCCTGCACACCGAGCCCGAGCCCGGCGGCGACGACAAGCCCGAGATCTATTTTCTCTTGAGGCTCTGAACGCCGCGAAGCTGCAGCTCTCCGGAGTTCACACGGCACCCCCCGTAGCGCTGTCCTAGAGCCCGGGACGCGCGCCCTTGGCTCCGAGCTGATTTCAAGATGTACTTCTAGACGCGTGGTTTGGCCTCCCTCCGCCTCCACGTGTCTCGCTGCGCATGCGTGTGTGTAGACCAGGGTGACCTGTCCCGCGTGCGTGTGATCTTTCTGCCCCCGGGTGTAAACGCGGGGCCCCGGCGCTCCACCGGCTCGTACGTCAAGGGCTTCCTGCGCGGGGGTGGCCCGAGGACCGCGGCATCCCCGAGGGCGCCTGCGCAGCGCTGCACCACGCCCCCGCACGGAGGCCACGCCCCACGCCCCCGCACGGAGCCCGCTTCTGCTCCCCCAGCTCCGCCCTGCACACCCAGCCCAGCAGCGACGACAAGCCTGAGATCTATTTTATCTTGAGGCTTTGAATGCCGCGAAGCTGCAGTTTTTCGGAGTTTACACGGCACCCCGTAGCGTTGTCATCCCCGGAAAGCGCGCCCTTGGCTCTGACCTGATTTCAAGATGTACTTCTAGACGCGTGGTTTGGCCTCCCTTCACCTCCACGAGTCTCGCTGCGCATGCGTGTGTGTGTGTGTGTGTAGACCAGGGTGACCTGTCCCGTGTGCGTGTGATCTTTCTGCTCCCAGGTGTAAACGCTCCCAGGTGTAAACGCGTGCATGCCCCAGATGCGAAGCTTCCAGCCGCTTGCGCCGCGCCCTCCACTCTGTGCCCTCGGGTCACAGGCACAAATGTGCTCAGTTTTACCCTCTACCCGCGGAGGTCATTTAGGAGACCTTGCAAAGGACGGAGGGAGAAGCTCTTTATTTTAAAGCCATCATCATCACTCCTAGCTTCCCCCCTTCTTCGTTGAGAAGCCCTCGTGCATTTTTAGGACTCAGTTCAAAGAAAAATCAAAATAGTCCCCCTACGTTTTAAGAGTTCTCTATCCTGTGCAGAATAAGTCCAAAGGAGATTGGTAGCTGCCCCCCTCCCTCCTACCCCTCCCCACACACCCTCTCATTTTCGAGTAGCCTGAGGATAAAGCAAACTTCTGTATATAAACACAAAATTGTTTGTTTTACATAAATTTTGTTACATATTTTTGCTAATGGGCTTTGTATGTAACAAGAACACAGTTGCCAAGCTATTTGTTGTACTTTTGGATTTTCTGATTAAATTATAGACTGCGAATAATGGCTTTCAGAACGAGGGACCTCTGTCAAATACCGACAGTAATAGCACAGATTGAAAACATCCCCAAAGCTGTCAAGCAAAAAAAAAAAAAAAAAGAAAAAGAAAAAAAGAAAAGAAAGAAATTTCTCATAATGAAATCCAAGTAAACGGATAAATTAGAGGAAACCTTTTCCCTTCATGGAGCCAAGTAACTATATTTTAGTACCGACATACGTTATTTTCACTGTGAATCCATTTTTTTATTGCATGTTCAGATGTCCCTCTTTGCTTTTTTTGTAATATTAACTGCAATGATGTCCTTCTTGGAATTCATGGAAATATAATTAAAGCAGATTTTTAAGCACTTGGTGAACTTTTTTTTCAACTGACGTCATAGGATGACTGCTAGGTAAGGGACCCAGCGCACTCAGAGCGATTTCATTTTTCATCTCTTCGCAGGGAAAGAGATGGGTTCTACAGCACTTTATGTCTCCAAGTGTTTTCATTATGCTTTAAAGACCGTATTTGTAAGGTGACTTGAAAAGAAATCAAATGTAATGAGTTTCTTTGCATTTTGTGTTGATATTGCTAGTTTAAAAATAATCCTAAAACAAAACAAAACAAAAATAATCCTGCCCAAATCCTGCCCTAGGGGTGAGGGCAGCCAAAACGCTGTGTTTGGCAAGTCAGACTACTTGAAGCTTTGTTGTCTGGGGGAAGAGTGGGGAGGAAAGCAGTCAGATCCTGGTTACCTTCCGTACCCAGCTCTGGACTTTTCCCCAGGGCTGAGGATCTTCCTCTCTTTGGACGAACACTGGGCTGCTGGTTGGTGTAGGAGTATAATGGTGGAAGGGAGAAGGACCCAATTTCATTCCCTTAGTGAACCTGAGAGATCTCTGTCTTCTTGGGACTTCAGAACCCACAAAGTTCTATCCTTAGACCTTGGCTTGTTTTTAAAGTATCCTCATCTTAAAAAAGATTGAAAGTAGTTGAAATTCATTTGCAGAGGGATAGAATTTTGCTGCCTTGTTAGGTGGAATCAGTATTCTTTTTTTTTTTTCTTTTAAGATTTTTTTATTCATTCATGAGAGACACACAGAGAGAGGCAGAGATACAGGCAGAGGGAGAAGGAGGCTCCTTGTGGGGAGCCCGATACAGGACTCGATCCCGGAATCCCAGGATGGTGACCTGAGCCAAAGCCAAATGTTCAAGCACTGAGCTGCCGAGGCGTCCCAGAATCAATATTCTTTAACCAAAAATCCAAGAGTTTACATTTGGATGTCAGTCCTGTCTCAGAGTGATCTAGTAGTGACATAAATGGTTGATGCCAAGTGATGGGTTATCAGACCAGCTCCCAGACACCATGTGCATCTGTTGCCCATTCTTCCACCGATAGAACTTAGGAAAACAGGCAAATGATTTCGTGATTACTATCTGGGGATTGCTAATAAAGAAGAGGAAGCAAGCTTTGAGTGTTCGGATTAGACTCCTGATCAGGGTTTCACTTGTTCGGAGGTTGGATCAGAGACTCATCAGTCACAAGGAAATCGCACAGCAAGTAAGATCTCAAGGAATATATTAACAGGTTTTCTAATTTTTCTTTTGAGAGCTAGCAGGGAGCCCCCAGTCTCTGCAAAGTCTGCCTAGAGCAGGCCCTGTGAAGTGTGAGAGTTTCCCACTTGACTCCTTCCTTAGAGGCTAGGTAGACGGTGCCAAGGCTGAGCAGCAACAGGTGGCTGAGACAGTTGCCTGCTGCAGTAGCATATCCACAGGGGGTAGAAGTAAAGCTTCATAATATTTACGTTAAGCCATCGTGAATCCCTTTAGTGGATCTCCATCACGTGTGAAATAAAGTTCCGTGGCCTTGCATCCAAGGTCTTCTTTGATTTGCTGCCCCTGTCTGTTTCCATTACCTGGTCTCCTCTGCCTTAGAATGCTCTTTCCTCCTTTGCTCACTTCATTTTCCAAGATGTATCCTGGAGGATCTTTTCCTCTAGAGAGCCCTTTGCTGATTGTCATCTCCTTTTCCCTAGTTGTACCCAACCCATTAAGCATTACCTAGATTTGTGGGGAGCGGGGACTTCAATTCCACTCCATTGTATCAATCTGTTCACATGTCTGTCTCTTCCACTAGACGTGGACTTCTCTGAGGACGGGGATTGTGCCTTGTGCTCCTTTTCCTAGCTCAAGGCCTGATACCTATTTCTATTGGGTAGATATTTGGTAAATTGGTGAATAAGAGAACTTGAGGAAAATGTGAGAGAAAGCAAGTGTCTGATTACTAGATCCTGTGTTATAAGAGCATGTTTAGTTTTATAAGAAACTTGCAAATTGCCTTCTAAAGTGGCTGTACTATTTTGCATTCCCGCCAGTGACGAAGAAGTGTTCTTATTGCTCCACATCCTTTCCAGTATTATTATTTTTCTTCTGTATTGAGTTGGTTATTCTTGGCCTTTTGATTTTCATATGAGCTTTAGAATCAGTCTGTCAATGTCCACAAAATAAATTTTTGGGATTTTGATTGGATTGTGTCAAGTCTTTAGATCAAATTGGGAAAAACTGACATCTTGGCAATATTGAATCTTTCCGTGAACATGCAATATCTCTCCATTTATTTCATCCTCCTTCGATACCTTTCATCAGTTTTATACTTTTCCTCATATAGATCTTCTATATGTTATGTTAGGTTTATATCTAAACTTTTCATTTTGGGGGATGCTAATATAAATGGTGGTGTTTTTTAATGTCAAATTCCATATGTTCATTCCTGGTATAAGGAAAGCAGTTAACTTCTGTATATTAATTGTATCATGCAAATATGCTGTCATCACATGTTAGTTCCAAGAGGCCCTACCTCAATTCTTTTAGATTTTCTAACATGGACAATCATGTCATAAAGCAAAGAGTTTTATTTCTTCCTTTTGTATCTGATTACTTTTTATTTTATTCCTTTTATTGTTTTTTCTTTTTCTTGTCTTATTTCAATAGCTAGGACTTCCAGTATAATATTAAAAAGCAGTGGTGAGAGTGGGCATCCTTTCCTTATTCCTTGTCTTAGGAGGAGAACTTTGATTTTCTCACCATTGTGATGTTAGCTGTTGGTTTTTTGTAGACGTTCTTTATCAAGTTGAAGATGTCCCCCAATAATATAGGGAACTATATATATATTCCCAGTTTTCTGAGAGCTTTTATCACGCATCGGTGCTGGATTTTGTCAAATGCTTTTCTTGCATCTATTAATGTGACCATGTGATTTTCTTTAGCTTGTTGATGTGATAGATTACATTAATTGATTTTTGAATGTTGAACCAGCCTTGCATACCTGGTATAAATCCCACTTGATTATAGTGTATAATTCTTCTCACAACATTGTTGAATTCTGTTTGCTGATGTTTTGTCAAGGACTTTTACATCAATGCTCATGAGAGATATGAAGTGAGATATTAGTCTATATAGTTTTCAAATGTCTTGTCTGGTTTTGGTGTTAGAGTAATACTGGCCTCATAGAATGAGTCAGGAAATATTCCCTCTACTTCTATCTTCTAGAAGAGATTGTAGAGAATTGGTATAATTTCCTTCTTAAATGTTAGGTAGAATTCACCAATGAACCCATCTGGGCCTGGTGTTTTGTGTTTTGGAAAGTTATTCATTATTGGTTCAATTTCTTTTTCTTTAAAGATTTTTATTGATTTATTTGAGAGAGAACATGTGCATGTGCATGGGTGGGGGAGGGCAGAGGGAGAAAGAGAGGTAGACACCCCACTGAGCAGAGAGCCCTACGTATGGCTTGATCCCAGGATGCCAGGATCATGACCTGGGCCAAAAGCAGGTGCTTAATGACCTGAGCCACCCAGGTGCCCCTATTGGTTCAATTTCTTTAATGAATATAGATTTTTCTTTTGATTCATAGGTTATTTAGAAGTGTGGTGTTTAATTTCCAAGGATTGGGGATTTTCCAACTGCTGATTTCTAGTTTAATTCCATTGTGGTTTTTAGAGCAGACATTATATGATATTTATTCTTTAAAATTATTAAGATGTGTTTTATGGTTCAGAATGTGGTCTGTCTCCATGAACTCTGTTGGGAGCTTGAGCAGAATGTGTAATCTCTTTTGTTTTTGGATGAAGTAATCAGTGAATGTCATTTATATCCAGTTGATTCATGATGTTGTTGAGCTCAACTATGTCCTTATTGGTTTTCTTCCTATTGTCTCTGTCCATGACTGATAGGCAAGCATTAAAGTCTCTAACTATGATAGCGCATTCATCTGTTTCGTTTTCTTTCCTCATGTGCTCACTCTGATGCTCTGTTGGTAGGTGTGTACACATTAAGGATTATTAACATCTTCTTGGGGAACCCACTGCTTTATCATTATGCAATGTCCATCTTTATCCCTGATAACTTTTCTTGCTTTGAGTCTTCTCTATCCGAAACTAATATAGCTATTTTTGCTTTTTAAAAGATTAGCATAAGCATGGTATACCTTTCTCTATTCCTTTGCTTAGATCTATATGTGTTTTTATATTTATAGTGGATTTTCTTGGAGACAACATATAGGTGGGTCTTTTTTTTTTTTAAATATACTATGGCAATGTCTTTTAATTGGCTCACTTAGATCATTGAGGCTTAAAATAATTATTGATATAGTTGCATTAATATCTACCATGTTTGTAGCCCTGGTGGCTCATGGTTTAGCGCCACCTTCAGCCCAGGGTGTGACCCTGGGGACCCTGGATCAAGTCCTATGGCGGGCTCCCTGCATGGAGCCTGCTTCTCCCTCTGCCTGTGTCTCTGCCCCCACCCCCCCGTCTCTCATGAATAAATAAATAAAATCTTTAAAAAACAAATCTACTATGTTTGTTACTGTTTTCTACTTGCTGCCCTTACATTTTTTTCCTATTTCTGTCTTTCACGCTTTTTTTTTTTTTTTTGCCTTTCATGGTTTTAGTTGAACATTTTATATGATTCCATTTTACCTTTTTTACTTTTTTCAATGGCTGCCCTAGAATTATCAGTATAAATATACACCTATTCCATTTTCAGGTTATACTATATTTCACAGGTAAAGTGAGTACTTTATAATAGCAAAACAATTCTACTTCCTTGCTCCTGTCTCCGGTATTGTTGCTGTCATTCATTCCAC